TATGGAACGAACCGCTAGACTTTCAACCCCCGGTAAGTAGTAGTTCGCAAGTCACCAAGCAGCCACGGGTGTTCGTTAAACGTACGCGCTTCACGCGCGCCTGTGTACGCGGAGATAGGAAAAGGACTGTAAATATTATCTAGCCGGGCGAAGAAGCACGACGCGCTCTCTCACCAACACTCTCATCTACCCCCTCATTCAACTCGGCACAGTATCTTACGATATCGCGATCGGAGCATGCGTGGAATTACTCACTTTTGCCGGGTCAACCACCCCCGGAATGCGGCGGCAGCGGCGGCGGCAGCGGCAGCGGCGGCGGCGGCGGCGGCAGCGGCAGCGGCAGCGGCAGCGGCAGCGTATTGTCCAAGTGCACGCGGTTCACCGTTTTCGATTTGACAAAACCGAAATGGTTTTCACACTCGGACGAATAATACGATCGACGCACCCGCCTCGATGGTGTGTAACACTGTTGAATTTTTTCTCTCTCCTTTTTTTTTTAATCGTCAAGGTCCACGTGCACGTATAGAGGAACGAAATTGATGGGTAATATCTACCCTTTGGAGCATTTTTCAACACTAGGAACACTACAGTGTGCTTGAATATTTCTCATAAACAAGAGCTTGCGAGAATGAGCTATTTCTTGAAATGGTGGCTATTTCTAATACAATATTTTCGCAAATAACCCGAGCGGATTTTGAAAATTACATTACTCCGGAAAAATACGTCTCTCTCTCTCCCTCCCTCTCTCTCTCTCTCTCTCTCTCTCTCTCTCTCTCCTCTGTCACTCTCGCTTGCTTTCTCATATTCAGCCTATTGTTACATTGAAACACGCAAATGAACCGCCGCGTTGCCGACGTTTGTTTGCGATGACGAATCAAAAATGACCAATCGCAAATTGTCATGAATGTATGTGTACCCGCGGCACGTTCATTCAGCGCCCTTTGTCCCGACGTTGCCGCTGATCTCGCAAGTTTCCCGCCGCACACAATAACGAGATCCCGGTTGTTTACGCGGTGACGAAACGTGCACCGTATGTGTCATGGTGTCGTCACGGTGCTTCTAAATCGGGATAAGAGGACAACGGAACCGTTGTACGCGATCGCAGCGGAGACACGCGCACTCGGCCGCGTGACCCTTCTTTTCCCAGAGCGTGCACTAATCCTTCATCCTACAATGGACTCGCGCGACACGCGCATGCACAGATATCGTCGTCGTCGAGGCCACGCGACAGAATCCAACCTCGACCGATCAATCTTAATTATGTCGATCGTCGATGGTCCGTGGATGGACTGTCGACTCGTGAATACGCAAGAAATCCGGCAAGAAGTGACGAGATAGTTTGCGGCACGTGGAACTTTAGCGCGAGCGCGTATGCCTCGTTAGCAGTAAATATTGCATTACATAGACCCTCCGCGCTAATACGATCTTCCGTCGTTACCGTTCTTCGCGCTACCGAGTGCATTAAGCCGAATTAAGATTCACCCTGATAACCCGCTGGAGGAAACGGAGAAAACTTGATAAATTATCACGTTACAAAATAGACAATTCACGATTATTCCATTTCTTTCACTCCGAACGATGTGCGTCTCGTTTGTGGATCGCGAATTCAGAAGAGGGTAAATATCATATATATAGAAAGGGGTACACTTCACCGGTCTTTTTTCATTTGGACATGTGTTATAAAGGATGACATTCTGAGTGACTTTTCCTGATACAACTATATGGGGGTCGCTTATAGTTTCCGAGATATTTGACTTTAAAGTTTTGGAATTTTCATGTTAAATTTCAGATATCATAACGCTGACGTTATTTACAGTACGATCCAAATAGTTAATTCAAACATAGTGTATATACATAGAAATATAGGAAACAGTACATATAAGTGGAAGAGGGACTCCGCCACTCTCTTAACCTAACCTAACTTATTGCATCTTTGTATATTGTTGGGCGATGTTGAAAAGATCTCCTTAAAAGCCACAACACCTAATTATATGCAGATATTATAATAAGTTAAGTTGAGCTAGATCTCAAGAGAACTTTTTTCAACAATATCCAAAAGATAAGATAGATATAAAGATGCAATAAGTTAGGTTAGGTTAGGATTTGTTTGGGGCGGAGACTCTCTCCCGCTTATATGTACTGTTTCCTATATTTAAAGTTAATGAAAAATGCTTGTCTACTTCAAATATACTTCAACGTACAATTATAAAACATTAAAGTCAAATATCTCAGAAACTATAAGCGACCCCCATATAATATTATATTAGGAAAAGTCACTCAGAATTTCATCCTTTATAACATATTTCAAAATGAAAAAAATCAGTGAGGTGTACCTTTTTCTATATATTTACCCAGAAGAGTAAACCAACGGAAGAAGCAAGGGGGAGCGCAAAGGAAAGACTGGTTTTATTGTATTCGCAAAGTGTTTGCCGTCTCGCTCATTTGATTTATAATAATTCGTGCATCGATTAAGTGCATCGCGATAATCGCAGAGATAATCCCGTAATCGTTATCATACGATCTTCCGGATTACCGCACGCGAGGAATCCTTTGCTCTGCTTAAATAAATATTTCTCGAAATTAGATGTGGCTACGCGAGGCTAAGATAGCGCTGTGTGCTCTCCAATTATATCCGGGAAAAGTCTTCTGTTAGCTCGTAATTGCATTATTAAGAGATCGTTAAGGCACTTTTATGTTCCATATAACAGTTATGCTGCGCGCGGCTATCGCGTGGCGCAATCGCCATTTTTCCAGAGTAAGAACTCGCCGATCGGCGCCGATCGAGAGATCTCACACAGGTCATGCGTTAATGACCCGCGGCGGCTTCTTTGATAACACTACGCGCGCTGCATTTGCCCTACATTGTCCCCGGAATTTACTCACGCCCTCCACACATCTCCACATGTCTTGCGAGCAAATTAAATGACTCAGCCGCGAACGTGATCATGAACGTTTCGCAATCGGATATGCTTGCCGAGCGTAAGCAAACGTTACTGCTTTTCGCGCAATCGTCCTTTCGCTAAATCGCGCACCAGGCGGCTCTTTCGAGCGAAATATTTCTCCTATCCTCGCAACGCGTGACACGCGATAACCCGAGGACGAGAACAGAAAAAAAAAACAATTCGCACGGTTTATCACGTGTGCAGAGGGGAAGGACTAGACCAAACATTCCTTGCGTCAAATAAATTTCGAAATGCAAACAGACGTAGGCGCGCAGACTGCTCGACGACGGACGGATGCGTTGCACTCTACATTTCGTCAATATTTTTCTATTGTCTCACGAGACCCGTGGATCCCGCGTACGATATGTCGTACTGACATTCGCGTGACATTGCATACGGAATTACACATATTTAGCGAAAAAAACGTTTATCCGTACCGACTTGATCGACCGGTTGTTTATGCCTCCGATTAGTCCTCGAGTTTTCAAGACCAACGTGCGCCGACCGAAAAGGTGAATCCGCTGACGAGGACGGCTCTGCATTATTCCTCAATAACGGCTGGGTGTGTTACGTAAATATTCTCAGTACAGTTATGCGATAATTGCTGAATAATAATATCACAAACGTATAAATGGCTCGCGTGGCGCCGCGTGTGAAGTTTGTTTCGATTCCCCGGTCGAAATGTTGATTCTACATTAAACCTGCCAAATTTGCTAAACTCGCGGATTCAGTCAATGGTGAATTTCGAGTATTGTACAAGGCCTATTGTCCCTTGACTATTGTTACTTTGACGCTACAAATTGCCCCCGCTGCTGTTTACTCAAAGAAGCATCTCTAATCATTCAATATTCGCTTGTATTTACTACTATTGACACTAAATATTGAAGTTATTTCAATGAGCAATATATTAATTATGTAATTTGTTAAATATATGCGAGAAACAAATATTAAACCTCACGGGTTGGTAACAATATATAATAAAACAAATATTTAGAATACACGATAGATATGATGAGACAATATACACAAACTTTCGTTGTTTGGAATTTTCTAATAAATTTAGAAATTTTTGCGAAACTTGGAAATTTAAGAAGAAGAGACTTGGACTCTTTCTCTCTCTCTCTCTCTTTCTCTCTCTCTCTCTCTCTCTCTCTCTTAAGAAATTTATTACGGAGAATACAAGTGTTGTGTATCATAGTTTGTCCATTATAGTAGATTATAAATTTCGACTTGGGAAATAACTTCTCTTTCTTGAAAATCAACCGGTAAACCGCTAACCGCAAACTTGTATTCATTCCCATTCATTATTTCCAACAGTTATATTTATTTACCTCACGACCTTGTCACGAGCGAAATCCTCTAGTGGTTTATACGTGGTATTATATAATATTATGTGCGTGACAATTTCAAATGTGACAATATCAAAATTGGCGCAAATAACATTTCAGCAATAATTTGCACGACGACTGATTGAGAAGACTGCTTTGTTAGCAAGAGCTTAACGAGAGTCATATATTTACAACAAATATAAAATTTTGTGCGGGCCATTATCTTGCAATCAGTTGTACAAACAGATTTTTTCATCAATACCGAGTCGTCTGATAATGATATATTATATCGGAGCGACAATACATTCCGAGCTGTGTGTGTGTGTGTGTGTGTGTGTGTGTGTGTGTGTGTGTGTGTGTGTGTGTGTGTGTGTGTGTGTGTGTGTGTGTGTGTGTGTGTGTGTGTGTGTGTGTGTGTGTGTGTGTGTGTGTGTGAGTGACTGAAGTCTTTTATAAGCTATCCCTTATAACCTAAATCTTTTGGACGCGACATTGATACTACGATGATATTATACTATTGCCTCAAATGACGTAATTTACTTCCTCTTGTTCTCATCTAATTCTAATTTTGGTTTAATGTCGATCGAGATATCGGCATATAGAAATAGCAAAAAAATGTCTGTAGAATTGGAGCTTTGAGTCTGTTAAAAATCTCTTAGTCGTTAAGATTGCGCCAAGCAGGGCATTCTGGGACGCCATGTGTAATAATCGTGACGTAATTTGTACGTACCTCCAGATCGCAGGACGCCGGGGATGCTGGATACACCGCTTGCGGGCCGCTAGCTGAAGCCGAAGATGCAGAATGTTCAATCCTTGATCGATTCTTCAGAGCACTCCCGCAATCACTACCGCACGTACAATCCCGTTTACATCGTCCCGATAATCCGACAACAATCCGCGAGCGCGGCGAGAGACGAGCGACGGGCGCGTGTTTATTTACACTCCACGACTTGGCGAGCCGAGCCGAGCACTCTGTCCACAACGGACGACGAATAAGTCAAACAGGCGACTTAGCTCACGATCACGCGTCGCGTGTCGTTACGCACGCTGTTACAAGCTTCTCGAACGCGAAATAGCACAATTTCCACCACCGGACACACCACCACTCTCTTCGGCGGTCATCAACACTGTTCCGTTACGACTGATTCGAAGCAAGTGATCGCCTGAACTTAGCCACGAGAGAGACTTTCCTCTCCCTCCTGTCCTTCTTCCCTCTCTTTCTCTCGCCGCTCTACGGCGTCGTTCGAACCTCGATCGAAATTGAGATTGCGCGCCGCGTCGCGTTATTATCGTCTTCTTGGGATGGATGAATGGATAGATGGACAGATGGACGCTCTCCACGGCGTAGTGCCCCCAAGTGTCAAGCTTGGTCGATGGACCAACGGACGGACATCGCGCGTCGCTGAGTTTCTCGCAGTCGCGGGACTGACCGGGACTTCACTCGCGTGCGAGCAGGGTCGATCCGTCCCGCGTCGCGAACGATGCCCGCGTTCGCGATGCCGCAGCGCGAAATGAAAATACGCCGCGAAAACTACCGAGCGAGAATACCGGACGATGTATTTCGGCGGACGTCCACGCTCACTCTGAAGCTGCTCCGCTGCTCCGCTCGTCCGCGCATCCGCGCCGCGCAATTCGCGCCCTTCATTGGCCCGTCGCTCGCCTCGAGGCCCCCCACCACCAGCCAGGCTCGGAGCTACCGAATATTCCGATAATTCCTCTTCTAAACACGATATTCCAAGTATCGATACTTTGATTTCGCCATCGAGTATCTTCGGAATCGATACTCGCTTCCCGCAACGTTAACGACACGTCTGGGAGGCAATATCAAATAAAATGTATCGCTACAAACACGCCGGAACGATTTCTCCCGGAAAATAATTTTGAAATACCACTATCTTTCTCCCGTTCTCTTCAATTCATACATTTTTTCAGCTTTATTCTTTTCACTTGGATCATTCCTATTTTGTTTCATCGACGTTGCCGTTCTGCGAGCAATTTCCTCTCGATGATCACGCGAGTAACATCGATAAATCACGAAATATCAAGATTCTGTAACAAGGTTGAACGGATTAACGTCATGTTGCAGGTGTACGATATTATCTAAAGCATAAATATATATATCGCGCGTTGAAGTATCCCCATAGTCGAACCTTCGAAGCGACGCTTCGGTTATACGGGGCGTTTGATAATTGGCCATACGGCGGGAATAGATAATTCCTTGTCACAGACAGTGCCACACGCAGGTTAATACCTGCGAGACCTCCAGACACTGCGGGATTTTGGAGTGCGCAGTGTTCAAACGGGGAGTAGAGATGAGCAATGCGCATGATTGATTGATTATCACGGTTCTTAAATGATTAATTGATACTATTGATTAACTGCTACGGTGCATGCGTCACGCATTCCGCATAGATACTTGAAACTCTCGCCATATTATAATCCCTATTATAATCCCGGGCATAAATGTCGAACAATAACGAATGCCCAACATCGTAATGCAGAAAATATTTTTTCATCACGGTATCTTAATAATAATAATAATAATAATCCTTCACCGTCGCGAAATTGCACGGCCAGACCTCCGACCGAAAAATATTTGCCGCGGCTGTCCAGGTAGTTATCCGACTATTACTCATCCGCCTTCCTCTATTATTCTTCTACCTCGGACAGCATCCGACGAGCGAAGTGCGCAACGCAATAAAAATTCATTTAACGAAGATATTCATTTCTAACTGTCGCAAAATCAAATGTAAAAAAGTTCTTCTCCACTTCCCGAGTCGTCGTGCCGCATGAATTGTCCGAATTTGCCTCAACGCTCAACGGGCAAAATCTTTCGTGTTCGCGTGTTGCAAGTTTCGTTGCAAATTGAATTCGCTGACTCGAGAACTTTGCAAATTCGGAATCTGCTTCTCGACTGATTAACGACCGTCAAATTCGTCAAAATGGCAGTGAATATGTCAATCACGGCGTCACGGAAAATACGACAAACTTCGCGTGATTCTCTGAGAAATTGATTTACAGTCGTAGAGACGACCTGTGTCTTAAGGACACACTGAAGCGCATTATGAAGATGAATTTACACGACGATGGACCCCGTCGTCGTGGCAAGACCTCGTGGTAATCTAATTTTCAACTACCAGAGTAGTTTTATGTCAGCAATATCAGAGAGGAGAAATGGACAAATGAGAGACATCGCACAGACGTATACCGGCACCTGAGACGGGAAAGAAGAAGTGATGTTCGTATTATTAACCCCGGCCTGGTGGGAGAGACCTCTGAATACACTCCGGCATCTTCGTCGAGCGTCATTACGACGGGAATAAGAAATAATTGCACGGCACACCGAGGTTCAGAGTCGTGAGAGCGACCTACCGCTTGCGATCCGTCACAAAACTGGTGATCTTTAATCTTATCTCGTCCGTCCCTATTTTTCTCTCCTTCGAGCCTGAAATCATCCATCTTCGATCCTTATGTACTGACTGTAAATACGGCAACCCCCGGAACCGATTTTATCGCGATGGACCGAGTCGCGATCAATTGCTCCTCCCCGCGCATATATATACTACGATAAATTGGCGGATCTGACGCTGGTGTTATGTATAGCTGCTTTTATCTCCAAAATACGACTTTACATAAATCACGAGCCATCTGAACGAGATATCTGAAAGTGTGCTTTTCAGTCATGCTTTCTCCCATGCAGCGACACATTCGACCGTTGTAACACGCTTTGTAATAACTAAAACACTAAAACACCTGTAGCTAATATATTTTATTTAATCGCGCCTTTTGCTTCAAAAAAAAAGCGAAATGGAAATATTGACGAGTTTCATAATGAGAGATTGGTATAATTATATCTCGGATATTTTTCAAATTGCGACGAAATTGCAATCTGTCAGTAGACTTGATATATATATATATATATCTTGGAGAAAAACGACAACAATGTTATAATAATCATATATGTGTAAACCAAAGAACTGAAGCTGCAAAATATTTTTCAAGTATTCTTATCATTTTCATCGAAGTTACATTCCATTAAATCCTAATTACTTTTTCATGATAAAATCAAATGCTTCGCTGTACAACTTGAAAATAATAACATGTCAGAATTGTATTAGTGTTATACATCTTGGATTCGTCATCAGATGATGGCAGTTTGGAAATTACGTTCTAGAATAATAGCGATCCGTGGAGCTGGTAAAAAAGGATTGGATTTACAGCTTGCCTGGCGCCACTTAACGATCTAACGTAAAAAAATTGTATACACTAATCAACTACCTAGCACCATCTAGTGGCGCTTTGAAAAAAACCATCAAGCTAATTGGCTTGTGTCTCGACTAAGGAAGGTTCTAGTTTCGACCAAATGGTATTAAACCCCTTACGACTTTTGACCCCTTATTCTTAATAGTTCCAAAGTTTCCGCTAGGGGTCGCCACTACCTTTAATCTAAAGTCGGGCACGTGGTACGATTCTATGGTAAGTTGAATACAGCAAGACAGAAAGCTCTCTTTTGCAACTGCAACTCAGCGGCAACGCACACGCATCTGCATATATAATTGGTAAGTAATCAACTATTTCATATTCGTAATGCGCCCAAGTTCCGTAATTACCAAATTTTCAAGTGCTTCTGTTGGTAAACGATATTTATCTGTCACACTGCGAGTGACCATTATTCTTACCGGCGAATTCACGGTAAGTCAAGTGGTAATATGACGCAACAGAAGGTTAGAAAGATTTTTACATTTCAAATACTATGATTCAACAGCAGGTCAAAGGACTTTTTCATTTAAGATATATTCGTGTGGTATATTGTTAAATGTCATTTGCATATTCCTTTCAAAGAATCATTGAAAAATATCTTTACTTTATATGTTATTAATTTATATGTTTGATATTATATCAATTTACAACTTACTTTTGCTCGTCATGCAACTGAATCACGAGAGATGGTGCCACCACCCATCTTGTGTGTATGTTTTATTATTATTACTTTGTTTATTATCGTGACGAGATTTCACGCACGTACACAAGAAAGTCAGAGAATTTGATTTCGTTTTTTTTCCTTTTTAATTACGTATGCGAGATTTTACTATTTACTATTTCCGCCACACATTACACCTTACGTAAATCCGTTAATTACCTCTGCAACACGAACGAAACATGCTTGAAAGAAAAAAAAACAGAAGGACAAGCTATTCTAGAAAAAATCTTCTCGATGTAAGTTATTACGCGCTGGTGTTATTGCTAAAGACAAACCGAGTCTCGCGAATCACGAATTAACATACAAAAATCTACACAGCCAGACTCAGCAGAAGTGCGGTGCCTCGTTTAATCCAGAAGTCCGAACCTTGCAGTCCGGCTTTGAGGTCCACAGCGACCACGAACGCGGATTTCAATTGATCGCTTCTTCGCGGATAATAATAACAAGGACAATTGTAGATATCTGTAAAAGTCAAGCGAATGTTCATCGCGATCGAAATGCCGATTCTTCCAATATAGCGATTTTAAATGTATGCATTTTTTAAGGAGAAACATTCAAATACGGTAAAGTGGTTTTGACATTGCGCGCGAAGTTATCTCTATATACCTTTGACTTTCTTTTTGACTTTCTCGACTGGACGGAAATGGATCACCGGCATGTTGCAGATAAGTTGCATGGGTGCGGGCTCGACGAGTACGTTGTTCTCTTTGTCCCAGCAAGCGCCCTCCAGAAAAATGGAGCGTATATATACGCCGTCCTGAAGCGAAGCGAAGCAATTTGTAATTGCGCACCGATGTCGCCGCGTCGTGATCGTTAAGGATATTGATTAGGTGTTATTATCCAGTAATTTTCCTTTCTTTCTCGTTCGGCGTCGAGAGAACGAGTCAATTCTAGAAACATAGGGCTATCACGAGCACAGTTTCCAGAGAACGATTAATCGACGCAATTTACGACTCCGTCGAAGCCAAAGTTGTTTAGACACGTGAGAAAAGAATAGCAGGACTATTATCTGCAATTCTTTTGCGTCGAAAGTTAAACGTACGGTTCACGTAAAACGCGCGGGCGTGCATTTTCCGCGCGTCAACGAGACGAGCAACGTTGCAGCTCGGCTGCAAGGGGAGGATAAGTTTCTTCACGGTGAAACGGTGCTCGATATTAGCGGTCGGAACTGAAGCAAGCAGCTCGCCGAGCAATTAGCCTAATCGCACGTAGTTACCATGGGCGGCTCGATTATAGCGGACTCGTCCGTTGAGAAGACAGTAAACTCCCATGACAACGAATCGATAGATACGTTCCACAGTCTCGCCGAAGTTTGTAGTACCGCAGTAAGGAATCCAGTCGGAAATGTATACGCAGCTAACCAGAAGAGCAACGGCGGATGAGTGGTTTGAGCCCAATTGGCGAAGTGCTCGACTCGATTGATTAGATCCCTCGTCCAAGCTCCGAGCAGTTTCAAAGACGGATACGCGGTCAGCCATAGAGACGGCACTCTGCCCTCGTATATGCACGCGAAGATTTCTTCGAGATCTGGTGACATCAGCACGAGCCCTCTGATGCCACGCTGAAGTTCTTCGAGGCTGTCGCGGATTTTTGTCAGGAGCGCATTGTACCGTCCTATCTCTTGAAGAAGCACCACGTCCAGGGGCGTCTTCTTCGGTCCTATCAGCCTCTCGGTCGCCTCGTAATCGATCGTCCGCGGCATTTTCGCGAGAATGTCGCACGCGAGATGCGTCACCTGGCGTGAGAATTCGGCGGTGGGCGCGTGTCGATTGTAAGATATAGGGGAGACCTCATGATCGAAGATAGTCGATGAGATGCAACAGATTATTATTAAATTCAATGAAGGACAAAGAAAGAAAGGAGGGGGGGGAGAGAGAGAGAGAGAGAGAGAGAGAGAGAGAGAGAGAGAGAGAGAATGAAAGAAAATTCTGCTTTGTTGCCATACTCGATCTGTCAAACGGCAAATGGCAGAGTGGACTTTAAATTCCACAAAAAAGAGAATTTCAAACTTCATAATCTGATCAGCGCACTCGCACCTTGTCCTCTTTATCCTCGTCTTTCTCGACGCTGACTGCTGCTTGCACCTGAAGACTCATGAGAGTTTCGAACATGTTCCTAGCTTCCATTATCAGACAAGTGATGTCTGCGTTCTGGTGCTGACCAAACGCTTCCGGTTTATCCACGTTCGGCAGAATTGCGATAAAGTCACGGTAGGACTCTAAGGAACCGTCACGAGGCACGTAATAGGTGGGTAGTGATGACAAACGATAATGGGGAGTAGTCAGGACCTCTTCCGTGAAATATTGCTGGACATATGTCATCAACAACCGACGATCCCAGTCGTCGGTCACGTGACCACCGTAGCAAACACCTGCTATGAGATATTTCATAGATTCCCACGGTGTGACTGGATATTCGTCCAGGTAAACTTGCAGCAGGTTCTCAGAAACCTGAAACATATATCCCATCCCTATCATGAGAGGACGAGGTTCGTGCGCTTCTTCATCATTGGACGATCGCTCTGACGAATTTAAATATTTATGAAAAACGTTGGCTCGCGCGAGATTCACGAGTGTGAATAGAGTCGCGTTCAGCGGAAAAAAACTGCTCCGTTACCGTTCCGTAGCAAACCAGCCTCTGATTGGTACGTCCGTTCGGACCTGCCAAAGATTTAAAAGAATTCGCCAATCGTGCAACATTTGCTATGTGAGTGGTAGCGGAGCAGTTTTCTCCGCTGAACGTGACCATTATCTCGTGCGAGATAAATCGTAGATTGGCAAAAAGAAAAGAAAACATCTTTCTCTCTCGCAACGTATGCCGAGTGTGTGACTTTTGTTTGTCGGGGATACCTCGAAATCGGAATCGTTAAAGCTGTAGACAACGTTCCAACCGAGCTGTCGGAACTTCCTTCGCTCTAGGAGAATAGAATGGAAGAAGACCAGCGTGAACAGCAGCTTTTTATATTTAGACTTTTCTTGGCACTGGTCGAACTGAGTTTCGGTGATTAAGCCGTAAAGGCGCTTCATGTTGGCTTTTAATCCTTTCGGTGGCTCGGTAGTCATCTTTATCCCGGCTTGGAGGATCGATATGGGGAACTGAGGAGTCGGGCTCGAACTAAGCCATAATCTACGAAAGAATAGAACGTGCGTATTTTCGAAACGGAAAGACGACCACATTTACGTGTTCTCTCCATTATAATATGTTCACACAGACATACGACCTTCTCTGAATTTGCGTTTCCTTCCCCAGCTGTGATTTCATCTATCTGATTATTCTGACAAATTGAAAATTTTTCGGATTTCTTTCGGTAGAATATGTAGGTCGCGTATCGTGTGAAAAATCAGTCTCGTGAGTACGGGTGTGCCTATGTGTATGTAGGTGTGTGTATATGTATTTCATGCTTCCCTAGGATACCTAAATTTCGGGTGCAAAGTTTGGCTGGAACCAAGAGTCTCCACGATCTTATCCAGCTCGGGCATCCAACTGAGCGAGAGATGGCAATTCGCGAGAAATATCCAAGACCCCTCTTTGGCGCCGATCTCTATCATACTGCGCGAGGGATACGAAATTACACGAGAGAATCGATAAGAGAATAATTTAAATGTATCATTCTCGATCGTTTGAACTGTGACGTTTGAATTCTTCTCGTGACAAGATCGATAAGACTGCGAAACGTAACGTTGCGCCGTCCTCTCTCTCTCTCTCTCTCTCTCTCTCTCTCTCTCTCTCTCTCTCTCCTCTCTCTCTCTCTCTCTCTCTCTCTCTCTCTCTCTCTCTCTCTCTCTTTCTCTCGATCTCGGTCTCGATCTCGATCTCTACACTTTCTCGGACTTGAGATAGTTGTAACATACGATTGTACAAGCTTTCTGCAATTAACCTCGTGGCGATGGGCGCTTGTCCTTGGCCCAGTGACAACGTCATGAACTGACTGGTCATGTTCTGGCTATCGGCTAATTGCGTGAGCACGCTCGTGGGATCCACGCCGGGCGAAAGGACGAATATCAATGGTGTCTTCGCCATGGAATCATCCAACGCTGCTTTTAGGTCAAGTACAGGAGGTTCCACGAATTTCTGGCTGAGATTGCGCGCGATGTAGCTTGTGATGCAGAAAGATATTCTGTCAGGTCGACAGCTGCGAATGAATAACATTTTCTGGAACTCGGTGCACCCCTCCTCCCATTCGCCGACTAGCGATATAGCTTCCGGCTCTGTGCTGATGTACCTGAATGTTACGGTGACTGATAAGAAGGTAGTAGGCGGGAAATGCTGGTACTGGCGCTAGTACGCGTAGAAACGTATTGGCCTAAAATGTTTTTGACAGACGATAAATTCTGGATGCGTGTTTAAATATTCGCGATGTGCCGATCACGTGTGTCGGGTTTCTTTCTCCCGGAGGAGAGAGCAGTGACATTTCGTCATTGTTGCCACTCGTCGAATGATAATCGAATGACAGAGAAAAAAAATGGAAATTTTTACAGTTTTTCCCTCGCGCGTAAATTTCGCACGATAAAACTCGCCAAGTCCGTTTCATGTGTATAAATCGCTATTATTCACGAATGCATTGTCTCCTTGTTAACAACAGCTTACGCAAACGAATTTAAGGAGCAAGATTTATCACGAGAAAGAGGCCGTTAAAAGAGGCCAGAGCGTCGAAACGGACGACACGACGACGTAATACGCACCAATTGTGCCAATCTCGCGGGAACTGTTCAAAAGAAGAAACGACTCCGTGAAATCCGGGCAGCTTGTCGAGTTCCGTGACGTTGTCCCAAGTTTCATCCGGCAGCCACAGCACGGGTTTGTCCGGCTGATTTTCCCGGTCCAGCACGATTCCGCCGCGAAGCAGAAACGCGTATTCTCCTGGGATGATCTTACCCTGCGCATCCAATATCTTGACACACATGTGGAAAGAGAAGAGTAGCTTGTGCTGCTCGAACAGACCCCGGCACGTGTTCCTATCCGTAAAAATAAAATCCGTCGGATCAATTTCCCTTTAGGACTATACATTCCTCCTCTGTATCTCCTCCCGGAGTATCCGTGGAGCAGAGAGAAAGAGAGAGAAATTATAACGACGTTCCATCTCCGTTAAGTTTGTTCTCGGGCTGAACGTTTCTCGGGCTGAACGCTCGTTTCGCGTACATCGTCGAGAGAAATTTATACGTGGAAAAACGAACTCTCGCGATGAGAAATCAAAGTCGCCGGCGCCGAGGCGATCTGTGTGTGTGTCCCTCTCGCTGTTTCTTTAATTAATTAATTTCGTTAATTAATCTCGCTGCTTTTTAAATTAATTTCGTTAATTATAGCCGTTGCTCATTTAATTAATCATTCCTGCTTGTGTGCTGTTACAATTAACAGCACGCAAGAGTGTCACTCAGCAAAATAAAACGACGCGATATTCGCGCGAATTCTAATCGCAAGCTCTCCGTCAACGAGGACCAGCGGCGACACGGCGAAAGAGAAATCTCAGGATCGAGAATAAATTGCCGGGTCTTGTTTGGTGTAAATTCTGATAAATTTCCCGTCTCCTCTAAATCGCACCTGTACACCGCGTACGTATGATAATCGTTCAAGCTGTCGATCCTGTCGTGTAACTTCAGCCTTTTGGGACTCTTGTCGATGGACAGCGTAAACAACGCGTTGTAAGCGTCAAGGGAGAACCGATACATGGGATCGATAGCGCTCATGTCGTTCAGGACGAAGAAAAGGACCGAGGCGCGTCTCGAGCACGGTCGATATTCCTCTCTCGCTCGATCTATCTCCCTCTCCGTCTGCTCGGTAACGACCAGAGATTCTTGGATGGAGATAGATGTTGCCTTTGATGTTTGCAGAGTATTCAGCAAGTCTGGATCGTCTAGGAAAGCTCCTCCTGCCGCGCTGAGCAAGCTAACGAACGAAGGTAGAGAGAAGCATACTCTCCTCAATCTTACAATTGTATTTTATAATTGCGTTAGTTAATTGTCGGTAAACGACGATTCGAGATTAACGGTCGAAATAAATAACTGCACGCTTGTTCGCGTTTCATGCGCGAGTACAAGAGCGAGATGGACTGCGACGACTGAAGACGTAGTCGGAAATAAGAAACGCGTACGGAGTTAAGAGTCGAAGTTATCCTTCGTGGATCTTACTGAAGTATCTTGTCCTCCAGTTCTTTGAGTTTTCGTTTGTCGGACGCGATCGTAAGAACCAGATTGTCTTTCTGCTCTTCGAGCTGCGGCTTCTCTTTCCTGACCACGATGCCTAGGAGTTGCGCTTCGAGTCCTACATTCACGGGACAGAGTTATGTTCTCTAATCTAGTTCCATCTTTCTCCCGAGCGTACGGTAAGACAATTAGTTACCCTCCTCCTTAATGGCGAAGTTGCATAATGTCGTTTTAGTAGATATCTCCGGAGCGTAGTGGGGATTCGAAAGTTTCGTAGTCATAAACAGCCGGAATTGATCATTGTAAGTGATGAACTTGTCGTTAAATTTCATCAGCACCTGATCGCCTGCGGCCACACGCACGTAGATTCATAAAAATCGTGCGATGAGTTTCGCGAGAGCGAATCTGTTCGCTTTCTGTTTCATAATGACTTAATTACTTAATTACGTTCGAGCGTCCTGACGATGTGTATCTCTGTCGATATTATTAATATTTACGCCAGTGTTAATCGCGGTATGCTAATACTCGCTTTATCTCCAGTAGCGTTTAAGATGAATAATTAAAGAAGTTCGAGACTTTCGCACGGAGGGGGGGGGTGGGAGGTGGGGGGCGCACGTCAAGTTTTACCTGATTTAACGAAAGCTTTTTGCAGAATCGGATTTAAGACCGGATCAAGGGTTTCTCCGATATTTTCGAGCAGTACTGGTTTCCCGAACTGAATCGCTTGTTCCAGGACCCTCGTAAAGTCCGCTCGGCCAAAGTCGATTACCTTCAGCGACTGCGATTGTAATCGCCGAGTTAAAACGACAAAGTAAACCGTCTGATTTTACCGATTAAAATCGCTTTGTTCCGCATTAGCCGGCGTAATTTCCATTTAAATCCAATATCACGCGACGCGGTGTCCCGCCGCGAGGAAATCAGTTCCTTCGACAAACGCATCGCCGTCGCGCGCACGATACAACAACGGATACAATTACGTTCTTCGCCTCCATATTTTTGATCCACTTCACCGCCTGACACTGCGGATCGATTATGAGGGGCCAACGCGATCCTCGCGTCACTATGATGCCGTTCTCCGTGCTAAACCCATCGGACGGTAATCCCTGAATGTTCCACTCTCTGATTGTCGGCGCATCGACCAGGAACTCCTTCACGTCTAGATTCCGCGACATCGGTATCTCTCTGTCCAGCATCTTCGCCGTCCGACAAAGACGTGCGTTAATTGACACGTTAATTGTTCACTCTGCGCTTCGCATCGACGCTTGTAACGGACGATCTTTAGAGGAGAATCAAGTGCTTGTCTACGTGTCTCGAGATGAAAGCACAAAATGTGAAATGCGAGAAATTGCTCAGTCTCAGTTCTCAGTTTCATCGTGACTAATTGGCCTCGTTGCAAGCGTGATTGGAACGTAACACAGTTCATTGGGTTGCCAACTTGATGTAACATTCAGAGATCGATGAGAGGAAATTATAATACAGTCTCGAAGACGAACTCACCTCCTTCGACCAGATGCTCATTAGTTCCTGCCTATAATTAGACACAAACGGACCCAGGTACGACACGAACCCGGTGGATATCAAGCAGTCACCCGGCAACCGATCGAAGGACTCGGTCAACGACGCCACTGTGTTCTGCCATCGAATTCGTTCTTCGACAAGGCCGTCCACCAGCATCCCCGCGCGCTCCAGCTTGAGCTTTAACAGCTCAGCCTGAAAGAAAAAAGTCCCGCGAATCAGATAAGCGTTTCAGCAAATACAGGCGGTGCCACCTTTGACTCGTCACCGAAGACAGGCGGGGTAAATAGGACACGTTCCTCGTTAAAGTGTTAAATCAGGCCGATATATTTCTCCCTCGCTCTGCTCGATGTCTACCGGAATAATTCGTGCGGATATTCCCGTCCCCCCTCCCGTTGTGATAAAGCGGCCGTTATCATCGCAAATATCGAGAATCGGCGCCCCGGCCCGGCGGACAGTTTCGTCGGCGGAGTTGCTCTCTTTCCCTTTCACTCGGAATAGACTCGTAACTTTCGTTCCGCATCAGTAGGAACGGCGAAATTCCCTTCAAGGGATACATCTCGCCCATGAAAACCGAGCGAATGCGGGAGAGATGCCGCAGTTACCAAGGCATAAGTTTATGTAAGTGCCATTGGCGGGCGCGCCGGTCCAATTGGACCCCCGGCCGACTTCCTTTAAGCCGGACCGTTTCCTTTCTCGACCCTGCTGCTCTCTATACGAGGCCATTCCCGGCGCTCCAAAGCGCAAGAAACACGAGTGTACTCGCCAGCCTAATCAAATCTTCCTTTTCTTTCATCTTCGCGTCGTACATCTGCTGTAATCTCTCCAGCTCTTCGTGTAAGTTTTTCAGTTGCTGCATCGCCTCCTCTAAGGCCGCTTCTTTCTGCCTCAGCGACTCCAGAGCGGCCTGCAGTTTCTCCCGTTTCGGCGCCACGATCCTGCGCGAAATCACATGTCGCGCAGCTTTTACGAGCAGCTTTCCATCAGCAAACAGACGCGAGAGGACAATGCGATCGTCGATTTTAATCGCACGATTGCGATTTCTGGAGGTTCGCCTCTCGATCGGCCTTCGACAATTTACCTGTACAACTTGCCGTACTTTTCCATGGCGATCACCCACATGCAAAGTGACTTGGCTGCAACAGACACCAGCCCGACCTTCGCCGGATCGAATTCGGGATCGGACGTGTACTTGGCTATTGTTCGCAGAACTCTGTCCGATATATGATCTTTGTCGAAGTCTCGAAGCTAGAGAAATCGAATCAGGACGAGTTAGTTCGCGGAACGCGGAGAATGGACTTGTGCGCCACGCCAGTCGCAGCCATTGTCGCTCACCGTATTAATGAAGTTTACGTCGCCGAGTTGGCGCTTCGCTTCCGCCCACGTCGGCTCCGAGTTCTTCAGGATCATCACGGCTTCCATTACCATCTCTACCTTCGGCGGCGGATGGGTGAAGGATTTTATTTCGGCCAAGTCCTTCTTGTTCAAAGTCTCCAACGCCTAAAATCGCCCGCTTACGTTTCATCCGCTTATCATACTTGTACTTTACAACGCGCGCTTTCTTTCCCCCGTTGTTGGAGAGCCTCTGTTTCTCGCGTTAAACGCGCGATCCGGAAGCATCCTTCGTTCTCTTGCCGAAAAAACTCTCCAAAATCCGGTGGATTTTTTTGTTTTGTTTTCAACACGATATTTCGTCGACAACGAAAAAATTCCGTATGCACGCGAGCGGAATCCTTGTATTTTTAATCCTTTTATTTTTAATCGCTGTAATCCCAAGCTTTCGTTATTTTGATATTTCGCGTTTATCGCTCGAATTGTTCTTTTAATAGCGGAAGATCGCTGAGCTAGAGATTATAAATAACGGTTAAATTTTTATACAGCGGTTGAATTTAAATAAAGCAGCAAAGTTTAAATCAAAGTATATAAAACCCGAGGAATCGAAGACTATACAGCGCGGCTACAGCGGTCGGGGGGAATTTCAACGTTCCTTGAACACGGGCGGTGATCTTAAAAGAAAGCGATTGCATAATCAGAGGGACCTTGATGGCCTCGTTCAGTGCGGGCTCGACGGTCGCTAGGTCAGCTCGTGCGAGCTCCTCGAGCATCTTGCACTCCTTCTGCTCTTCGGCGATACGATGCGACTTGGACGCGATCACCTTCTGCGCTTCATCGGCGTCGCTGCGCTGTTTTGCTGTTGTGCACATTGTAAACACAGAACGCGATGAAAGCAACGAGTGTATGTGTAATATTTACATACACGTACAATCATCTCGCAAACAAATACCGCGTGATTAATTATTCGCGCGCGCGCGCGCAACAAGAGAGTCAGAACAGAAGGCGCGAGCTGTGAAGCAATAAGTCCTTATAGATTAATCTGATAAATGCCGCCGACGATACATCACTGTCGCCTGCGCGCCGTGTACCTATCGTTACGAGGAATTCTTCGCACTCCAGCGTAGATTTATGAACTTGCTGCTGAGTGACTTCGAGCTCCGCCGCCATTTCTTTAACTTTCACCCGGGTGTCGTCGATCTTCGACAGACCGCCGCGAAGTTTGTCCGCTTCATCTGCTAAATCTTGTCTCTTCTCCGCCAACATCCTGCGTGATACGAATGGCGATACACGGCGAATACGCGGCCTATGTACGCGGCTTCGATCGCGGCGGAACAAACGCGGGTCTCTCTCGACGTTCGACTCTTACTCTTTATAGCCAAGCACCAGCTCGATGAAATTCACGGCAGTCACGTAATTGTAACGCTTCATTTCAGCGGCCATTCTGCGAGAGAAGCGGGACACTGTGTCGTGGATCAAAGAGAATGATGCCGCAATTCCATCGCGCATTCGGTCCTGCAGCGGCGGCAATGGAACAGCCGTCGCGGATTGCCGCGGTTCCTGCAGAAAAGCGCGCGTTCTCGTAACGTTCGTTCGTTACGGTTGGAGTGTAAATTTTTTAACCGACTGCATACGCGCGCGTCCAGCCTTGCTTCGCGCGTCGGATACAGGTAACGAAACGGTCCCGCACAAAGCGCACAGTTATCGCTTATTCCGAAATGAACAGCGGTTTTTCACAGATATAATGGCGTTGAGAGTCGCAAGTGCGCATAAAAGTTCAAAGCCGCATGAATAATACGTGTGATTCCGAAATATTGCAAGCGAATGTTCGCTGTCGCATCGAAGCAAAAACGTATTCTCTCTCCCTCTCTCCCTCTCGAGCAGGCTTATCCATCAATGGCGGAATGAAAATCCGCTCGACGTCGATCAGCGGCAGACTCGCGTACGATCTCAATGACTCTCTCGCGCTTTACCGCGCTTACCGCGACGACCGCGCGCGGCACGGAGAAGCTTTAGAAACAAATTATGAATATGAAATGCATCCTCGCGATAGTCGAACGAGCAACCCCGCGACCACGACGGACGGAAAGAAGAAATGCGGCAGACGGCCGTATTATCGGCGGAATGAGGCAAACCGTAGATGGGAAAATAATCGGATTCTCCGAAATGGCCGGCAAGAAGAGGTAGCGGCGGACGAGGGACGGAGGGTGGCGATGGGGGTGGAAGATTGGTGGTAGGAAACGCGCGTTGATCGTAAGAATCGAATCGAATGGAATCGATCGCGCGGAAAGGGGAAGGGCGTACCCACCACTTTATTTTCGCCGGTGATAGTGAGCGTCAGATTGAGATTCATGAGGAACTTGTTGCCAACTTCGAGGAGAGCTTCTCTCGGCCATTCCAGGAACCAATCGATGGTCGTGCAATTGATCAGGGCAGGGTACTGCCGTAATCTGTTCCTGAAGGCATCGCCGATCGGGCTCATGCACAGGATCAAATGCATATTGGCACGCGCCCTCTCCATCAGGAAGGAGTGCACCGTCTCGGTCGTTGGTACCTTTCCAGCCTTCGTTACTTCCTTTGTTAGTCTCTTTTTAATCTGAGAAAACGCGCGAGATATATATATATATATATATATATCAGCAACCCGCGAGATACGTTTGCCCGCTCCTGTATTGATTTTATTTTCGCCCGAGCCGATTCGTCGTCGGACAAAAATGCGATTTATGACGGCGAGCTCGAGCTATTCTGTGCGCGTATCGCGTCCTATTTTTGCTCGCGTTTCTTCAAACTTTGCGTAATTCTCGACGATACGTGCAAATTCTCTCTCTCTCTCGCTCTCTCTTCATTCGCACGGTTCGTTTAAAAGTAATACGTTTCACTCGCGGTTTACGCGGTTTATTAACAGAGAATCATCTCTGACGTATCCGACGCGCGTGCAATATCCGGTGCACGCATTCATTAAAGCGCTTCCGCCTTTTTAATAATGCGAAAAACATCTCGCACGTATCGCCGAGGAATGAAAGTAGCGCGCAGAGTTTAATGTGAGACGGCGGGCAAATAATTAATAGGGATATAAAATCGACAAAGAAGAATCGGCGAGATGATATTTCCGCCGGCTTTCTAATTTCGCCGATTCTCTCTGGAAGCGTAAAATCTAGAGCGCGAATCTAGAGTCGCGGATTATAATCCGGATAGTCCAGAGAGACGGAGAAACGACAGCGGCGCGAAGCGCGTATTAACCGACTTACGTCCTCCATTTCCTCGCTCTTGTAGAGATTAGCCACTTCGCCAGTACTCAGCATATTGTTGACAATCTCTAGGAATTGCTCCTCTACTGCCTGGGTGTCGTTGAAGAGGAAACTGGTCGGTTTGTTCTCCACCCCGGCTATTGAGTACAGAGTCTTGAGATCCTCGCGAAATTCCGGCACCCTGTATTGCTTCGTAACGGCGATTTGATAGGTGTACAGATCGCACATGTAACTGCCAATACGCGAGAGCGATTGTCTACCGCTACCGCCGATTCCGACCAGAAGCACGTTGCCATGGGGCTGCGGAGGAGAAACGTTATTACTGTCTTCGAATTTATGATGTCGACGTTGACCCCCGCGTAACGCTCGAGGTGGATCGATATCTCACTCGAGCGGGGCGAATTGCGCGCACACACACGCTGACTGCGAGGCTCGCTTTTCTTAAATTGCCATTTCAATTATCGTTATTCGCTGAATTATAAAACTGGTATTATCAAGGTTAAAGGTTGAATTTCTCCCATCCCCGAGATGGGATATTATATCGCGGCTACCTCAACGCATGAAATTGTGATGATATCTCGAGCGTGTTGAAAGAGGGAGCTTTAAGAATAGCGGCTCGCGCTGTGTCACTGGCTGCAAAATGTTAAGCTCTAACTGCTACGCCCTGCGCATCACCGACCTGCGATATCACGCGAACGATGCGACATATATGCTCGATCGCGTCGCGGAACAGAATGAGATCGAGGCGCACCACGCCAGGCGAGGCATTATACTCATCCATCTGTTCTTCCACGTGGCGCCTTACGGCGCTGATGTCTGACAGCTCCTCGTATATATTCCAGGCATTCATAAAACCACCTGCGGATATTAATTCGTTTCGAACGTTCTTCAGCGCTTAGCGCGTAATAACGACAGTGGAAAGAAATATATCATACATATATATGTGTGTGTGTGTGTGTGTGTGTGTAACAATTGATACACAATGACTGTCGATATCGTTGCTAACGATAACGATGACAGACACTGAGTGACGTTGACATGGATTAAATCGCGGCGATGAGTCGCGGGTGTTTACCGAAAATGGGAGATCTCTTCTCCGGGCAGACGTTATGGAAGGTCAACTCAAAATGCCTCCCGAGCTGATCATTCAGCTGAGTCACGAACCACTCTCTGTCCCTGAAAGAAATTGCTCAGCATTTTTTCTCCCCGCAACGTGCCCGCGCCAAATTAAGTTAATGCCTCTTGAGCGCTTACTTCTCGTCAATAAGTCGATCGCAGAAAACTCGGAAACTCTCGTGAACCCACAATCGTAGGAAAGTCTGCTTCGAATACTGATAGTCTTTATGGCTGCGCAGTAGTCCTTGGAAGACCTGTCGGAATCGATACTAATTTTTGTATCCGCCCCCGGGCTCTCCGGTCACGCAGAGCGTTTGTGTGTGTGTGTGTGTGTGTATGTGTGTGTGTGTGTGTGTGTGTGTGTGTGTGTGTGTGTGTGTGTGTGTGTGTGTGTGCGCGTGTGCGCGTGTGCGTGTATGTGTGTGTGTGTACGACCACTCGTCAATTTTTACCTTCGAGATATCTCTCAGATTGAATAAGTAATGTATCTTCGTCGGGGTGGGAAGCATCTTCTGGATCACGCGATCGTACAGATTGATCGAGGCGAGCGTGATGTCGTTCGCTGAAACAGCGATGAAAAAAACGTGTCGTTTGCACTTCACATCAATTATTATCGGCAACCCTCTGGGCCCCCCTCTGCGTACTTACATATTCCCTTCACCTCGGAGTGAAACTCGGAGAGTTGCTGATTCAACATCGTGCCGTAGATTCTGACGATTTGCTTCTCGGCCGGGAGAGTCATGTTGATGACGTTGAATCGCGTGAGCAATCGATCGGTGATGACGTTGCGACCTCCACCGGCCGGCCCCATCGCCGCTACCAGCTGCATCTTCTGGATGTACCTCCTCGTTTGCTTCCGGCGATCGTACCTGCCGATTCCGTCGACGTCTTTCACGCACGTTTGTCGCGACAAATTCTAGACGTGTGTGTGTGTGTGTGTGTGTGTGTCCTATCGCCCTCTCCTCTCCTATCCTTCGCGTCATTGCGTTTTATTTCTAGTACATCTGTCTCTCTCTCTCTCTCTCTCTCTCTCTCTCTCTCTCTTCTCCGCATCGCGATAGAACGTTACCAGAATCCGTAATCGATCCATTGGCGAATCAGTTCCAACGGCGGCTGCGACCCGTACGTATCCTTCATCGGCATGTTGAAGTCGTCCATAAACACGACCATGGTCTTGCCGTTCATGGGAATATAAACGCCTTTCGTTCGTTTCTCCATCCTGCTCTCTATGATGTCCTGGAACGAGGGGGAATCGTCGTCTCGAGTATTCATTCTGCGCTCAGGTCTAGTATTCGCCTGACGTATATATGTTTGGAGCCTCACTTGCACATTATTGGACGTAGTTTGCGCGGACATGTTTACAAGAAGAACAGCGTATTCTACATCGTCCAGGAGCCCGAGCACCGAATGGACGGTGGACGTTTTCCCCGTACCCACCGGGCCCGCAACGAGCGCCGGGAAGCCATTCGACAGGAGAGAACTTACGACGTAATCGTACCGTACCGTGTCTACGGTGGGCACTATTATCTTGTAGAACGGCGTTCTGTAAATGAACCCGAAGATACAGAACGTTGGGCCTCACTCACCCCCAGCCAAGCGGCGCTCGGACGAGCGCATAATAAATGATCAGCAGTCATCGATCGGCACCCCTCGAAAAACGCACGCGGTCGAAAGCGCGATATAACGCGCTTGGAATCATTCGATTTGAATATGCAGGATTCGGACTCGGGGCATTCGTTGGATTCGGCTGAAATTCGACATGTTCTAATTCCCCTCGGCCGTAACACGCCCGCGCAACCAGAGCGCAACCAGAGCGCAACCAGTCCGTCGGTTAGGCGAAAAGCGACACACGACTTTCGGACTTTTCCCCTCATGTCCCTCATTTCCGAACGAACCGAAACGGTCGACTTGAGACTTGAGAGGCGAGGCCGACGATGATGACGGCAATGACGATGATTAAGTCTTCGATACTCGGAGCGCTCACCCAGACGGAAACCTCCACGTCGGCGACAATTTCTCGTCCCACGGAATGAAAGCACGCAGCCGTGGCTCCACGAAGTAGTCGTACACCGTGTCCCGTAACGGAAAGGAACTCTCGATCTCCCTTACGAAATTATCCATCTTCTGACGACCCTCCTCGGTGACCGCGGCGCACAGCGACCATATCATGCTGCAACGTTGCGACGGCGAATGCAGTTGTCTCGCGCTCTCGACCGGCTATTAGCATGTCATTAGCTCGGAACTTATAGTTTAATACGACTTGCGAACCGCTGGAGAGCGAGAGCACTACTACGGTATTAGCATTACTTGGAAGTGCCTCGAGGTGGCGGCGGGGCCTAGTATTTGAATCTCGGTTGCGGTCGGGTGCGCGAGTTTGCCTCGTTGCGAATTAGACCGTCGCACCCACGAGCGAGCCCGACGAGTTGGCGGGTTCGACGATTGTCGGGTCTCGCTCAGCGCGATCGACATTCGCGATCGGGCGCGCGATGGCACGCGTGTATGTGTACGTGTACGTGCACGTGTATGTACCAGAAGAAGAACCACATCTTGCATATGACGGAGTAAGCGTCGCGGTCTTCGCCCAGCTCCACGCCGTTTTGCGGTGTCGCGAACACCTCGAGCAGTTTGCAGAGCGACTGGACGGCGTTCAATTCCGGCACGGTCACGATCTCCTCGCAATACTGCCGTTTATATTCCAGCGCGTCGTTAACGTGGCTCTCAAACAGCTGATTCATCTGATTGAAAAGCAATGAACTGTACGACCTGGTGCTGGCTGACTGGCTGGCTGGCTGGCTGGCTGGCTAGCTCGCTCACCTCCTCGACGAATTCGGGTGTCGCGTCGTACTTGCGCAGCCACGAGTCGACGTACGGCCGCCAGCCGAGGTTCTTGTAATCGTTGTAAACCATACCGGCCCTGGAGACGGTCGCGGGAGACGCGACCGCCAGGTCTTGCACCTCGAAGAGCAACGACACTTGATCTGGCATGGTGATCCGATCGTTGTTAATCAGCGTCAGTACCTTGAAACGTAACGTGACGTAACGATTTTACGTTTCGAGACAGCCGTCGCATAGCCTCGCTTAGCTCGAGAGAAGAGGCAAGGAGCTGCAACAGATGAGTACGAGGTGTGTGTGTGTGTGTGTGTGTGTGTACCTTGTTGTCATCCATGACGCTGTTCATGTTCTCAATCCAATCAGCGTCCACGGGCCCGTCAAAGAGGATCCACTTTTCATCGGCGGTATCCTCTGTCAAAAGAGCGTTCGGCCTTACTGCGTGGCGTGTGCTTTCGCGGCGTAAATCACGTTAGCAGGGCAAGTTCTAACGACCGCGCTTATGTTCTCTTCTTTTCTACCTCGCCTATTACTCGTGAATGATGATCGCGTTAACTCGCCGGATAATCGCATTTCGCATTATCGCTCCGTTGGATCGAGGCAGGTAATTCGAATGTTCGACGAACGCATAATACAATACAATACGTTGGTCGATCGTATCCGTACACAATGGATGGCGTGCGTGTAACAATTGAAAGGATATCCCGAGTCGCGCGACTTGCAACGTCTCTTACGTCTCTCGTCGTCGGGACGCTTCGAGGGAGAGGGAGATTTTAAATATCGATTTTAAGTATGCATTAAGGAACTCATCGCTGAAGTAACGCCCCTCCTCACGAGCGCGCACGTACGTGGCGTGTGCGACATACTTATTATACCGCACATATTACTTCGTTATCAATCAAGCGGATTTACCGGAACAAGTTTTCCGCATGATGGACGATATCACTCCGTCGAGCCATTCTCCGGTGGAAAGATTGTACTCGCCGTAGAGTTCACCGAGACTTAGTGCCTTAGGATTAATGGGATGTACGTGAACGGTGTTAAAGCCCGGCTTTCCATCGCTCTTCATTGTCGTCATCGTATTCTGCAAGATCTTCCATGTCGCGGTTTTCGCGGTGTTGGACGCGCCCACGATCATCGTTGAGTGGCGCGAGCCCTTCGTCTCGTACAGCTCGATGACTTTCGCGATCATCATGGGAATCGGCTGCGATCCGGACGATATAGGACGACTGATTAACCTCGAGGTAGTCGCTGAGGCGATTTATCGAACTATCCGTCCATCCGATTCATATTCGAACAATTTCAATAACTATTTCCGTTAACGCCGGAGATGAAATTCTAAGGAGAGAAGGCCGAGCTGCGGCGCGATAGCGGGTAGCGACCACAAGTTTGATACACTCGAATTAATATTTATAAACATTCCAAATCCAGCGCGAATAACTTCTCGATGAATGCGCCCTCCTGCCGCTCCGCGAGCCCGAGGGATGCGCGGTTCTCATAAGAAAGAAAAAGTCGGCACGAGAGAAGGCTGGCACTCGCTCCGCGAGAGCGAGATGAGACGGAATCCTTCACAAGGACGTTACGCCACGTCCTTCTCCCCGAGCTGCAGATTACCTGCAGCTTCAGCTTGATTGCCTCGTTGGTTATGTAACTGATCATTTCCGTGTAATCCACGCTCGGTACGTCCACGTTAGGGAAAAGATCCGTGACGATATCGAGGAACAGCGGTAGGTCGTCCGAGGTGAGTTTAGCGACGTTCATATCTCTCATGGCGAGAATAATGACCTGGGAGAAATTCAACTTGGCTGATGCGAGTTCAGACTAGCGCTAATATCCGTCGCAGTTCCTAAGCGTGTCGAGCGCAACGTGCACGTGCACAAAGTATCACGAATAACCCGGGAGAATTGCGTGAAGCGTCGCGTTGGTAAATAAATTTTTCTGCAAACCGGACCGTCTTGTTAGCGGTTACCTCCTCGTCGGGCAGACTGGGATACGACCTCTTCTTCTTTCCGGCGTAGCGGGTCAGCGTTACTATACCTCGTAAACCGAAATCGTAATGGCATTGTTTGCCGAGCTGCTGCTGGGCAAGCGAGTACAATGTAAAGATCTGCAAAGGCACGAAGCATTGTGTACGTGCAACATTTCCGTCGGGTCTTATGTATAACTTAATGTTCTCACTCATTGCTCAAGTAACGAACAAATTAATCGTCTAAAGACGATTTCTCGTGTGTCGAGAGGCGACGAAAATGATATGAATGACGAGTCATTCCGTAAATATCAAGATGCAACGCGAGTATCGCGGGGCAAATTTGCAGGTCGCAAAATTTCTCGTGCTCGCTCGGCATTGAGACGATAAGTAATTAATCGCAACAGTCAATTACCTTCCTGGCCAGCGTGCGCGTGTTTTGGAAGCCTTCGCCAAACAGGTTGATCTCGGCAATCATGCCACTGTCCGGCACCATCATCGAGATTGGCCGGAACATGGACTTTAAATTGTCTGGAAGTTCGGTACGCCCGGCGTAACCAGGATTCATTGTGATGAAGATGCCGCAGGTGTGTACCAGAGCTATCTCGGCGCCGTCGAAAATGAATTTCGTGAGTCTCTGGGCGAGGGCGGTCAGTATCGATAGTATCTGTTGCGCCACCACCGACAACACCTCGACGTTAATCCTGCGATTGCGAAAAAAAAGTCTCTTTACAGCCCTGTTATTTACAGGGCTCGTTTCGCCCCGGGCGGCGCACTTTTCTTTCACGTCGCGTAACGAAAGTGCATAAAGAATCATTTAGGAGATTGGTTAACTCTGCGAAATTTTTTACACGTGCTCCGCGACAAATAAACGGCGGAGTGGTGGTGCAGAGTGTTTCTCTCGTGTACGAGTAGACTTCGCTTCGTGTACGAAGTGAAGTCTAATTCACGCAAACGTCAATTACGCGTCCACAAGGGAAAGTTCTGGAAGCGTCCGTCATCGTGCTTTCGACGAGCTGTAAGTAGTTGCGAGCCGCGCAAAGTCAGCCCGGCTTGTACGCTCGCTCTGTGCGCCCGGCGCGTCCGACGCGAAGCGTCTGCATCTACTTACAGCGCTTTACAGTCCGCAACTCGCGTTCGAAAAATGAGATTTCCGAAGATAATCTTGTTACGCGCCACTGAACTTGTCGTAAAATTCTCTTTACATTTCTGCAAAAATTTCTAAAGATGTTTACCGAGTCCTATGAAAATTTTTTAATTCATAAATATGATAACGCGAGGAGAGAGCGAGGTCGCTCGGGGGGGGGGGGGGGGGACTGAAAAATGCGAGATATCTGAAAAATCCAACTGCGGAATTATAAAGCGCATCGGATAAAATTAGACATTCATTTCGTGTATCGAACGCTGTTTCAACGCGCCCTTACACCGCAAACCCGAGTGTGTTATTTTCACGCGCGTAAGCTGACGCTTCCTTCGCGCGAATCTTGCCGTCTTCCATCGCGTCGTTTAGCGCGTTAAGTGATTTCGAAAATGCATCGAAATGACGTGGGATTTCAGACGACAGGAAACGCGTGAAGAAAGCCTCACAGCTTGCACGTGTCAAAATAACACACACTCGAAAAAGAAGAGGAAAAGGAAAACAGGCAAATGTGTCTTTTATCTCTGGCCACTCTAAAATACATATCCCAGGCTCAGGAGGATCGGCCAGGGACACTCCCAAATCCCTTCTCATTACAGATTCGATTCGGCCGCCGAGTTTGCGTCGCTCGCATCTACGCGTGGTATGTACAGGTACTCAGGCTTCTCCCGAGGGTGTTTACCGATTAAATTCGTCGAAGCATCCCCAGGCGCCGGATTGCGCCAGCCCGGAGAATAATCTGCCCATACTTTTGTAGTCCAATCCTTCCGAGCAGTTCTGCACGATCACGTTGAAGCCGAGCGCTTTCCCGAGGTCCTTCACCGTTTCGGTTTTCCCGGTGCCGGCGGGTCCTTTCGGGCTCCCGCCGCGATATAAATGAAGGGCCGTCGTCAGCGTGATGTAACACCTATAAACGGGGATGGACGCGGCGAGAGAGTCATTTCATGATCCGACGCGCGCTGTGCGACAGCCAAGCACGCGCGAGCGCGAAAATGGAAAATTGACGGCCGGCAGTTTGCATTTCGCCGCGCTCTCTCACTCGCACTCGCACATCTCCAGCGCGAGATGCGACCGGCCGATTACCGCGTCGTTTTATCAGCAACGTATTTCAGATACGTCTCAGAGGAGCCTCGGAATGCGGCGAGCGCACGCTATCGCGTTTTATTAACGCAGAATGCGGAGGATTGCATTTCTCGCGTACGGCCGCCAACGGCCGGCCGGGGGAGACCCTCGTGCAATTTACGATACGGCGTATCGGCGAAATATCTCGCCCATCAGGCCCGCACCGTCCGGAGAACACAGCTGCAATCTGGCATTCGATTCGTGAAATACATCAGAGCGTGTATATGCCCCGGTGCAGTTTGCGATTTAATGCGTCTACTCTCGAAACGAGGAGCGCCGCGCCACGTCGCGCCGCGCCGCGGTCCATCCACCCCCGGGCGAAGGGCGCTGTGAGTGGCGGGACGGTAGCGGAAGATCGAGATTCCTGCAGGCCGGGAACGCCGCGGAAAGTGGGGCGCGCGCGCGCGCGTGTTGTCTTCTTTCCGCAAGACAAATTCCCCGGACTGCGGGGGAGCGGACAAATGTATCGAGATGGCAATCGTCGTCTATAAATTAGAGCGCGGCTTGGACGGCGGCGGCGGCGGCGGCGGTGGCGGTGGCGGTGGCGGCGACGCGGTGACCTTTTATCGCGATTAAATCGATACCGCGTTAAGTAGCGACGCCGGATATCGCGCTCGTGCGCTCCACGTCGTCGCGACACCGCGCGCGTTCGGTCTTTGATGTTACCGACGGCTTAGCTGCCGCTAAGCTCCCTTCTCCCTTGTTGAGGCCGCGCTTGAGAGACCGTGTCGCATTGTCGTCGTCGCGTATTGCATCGGCGCGGATGCGTCGAGTTACATCGCCGCGCATTCGCGATATCGCAGCCGCGCGCGAAATTGCATTCGCGCGAACTGCCTAACTACGCGCGCACGCGCGCTTCTCTCGGCGCGACTCGTGGCAGAGCGCTCCGCGACAGGCGCAGCGAGTTCTCGAGGAGACCGCGAATCGACGGCGCGGCGGGAAGCCGTTGGAATGTGATTAATCCAGTTTGAAAAACTCCGCGAGCGTGCATTCTTTACGAGGAGTTTGCGAGGTGCGACTGAACTTTTTTGAACATTCCTACTCCCCTCTCCCCCCCCCCTCCCGGAGAGGGACGATCCCTCTCCGACTGTCTCCTCCTCAACGTTTTCGTTTACTCCGTTAATAACGTCCGCGTCGAGCGTATCCTTGCGCGCGCACTTTTGTGATCCAGTTTACCAGCCTCGAAACTGCAGCTCGCTGCCCCGGTCGGCAGCGTTTAAGTCTGACGACAACACCGACCGCCAGCGGAGCCACGTTAAAAGTGAAACGAAGAAAGAACAGCGAGCAGACGCTTGCGACGAGCGCTTTGACAAATTCAGAGAGTACATTTTCCGATAGTATTGGGAGTACAAATTAGTTCGGTCCGTTTTTTTGTGTTAAAAGATGTATTTATTTCAAAACAAAATGAATGAACAGATCGATTAAGGTATTTTCCATCGCTGGCTACTACTTTCTCCCATTTCTCAGCCAATTTTCGAATTCCATCTCGAAAAAATGACTCTCGTCTTTTGAGGCGATCCAAGTTTGGAGCCAATTTTCGATATCTGCGAAAGAAGTGAACCGGTGACCTGCCAAATCGTGTTGCATCCTTCGGAACAACCAGTAATCGGAAGGAGCAAAGAGAGAATCCCACTCGAGCGTTTCCTAATATTTTTTTACGACTTTTGCGACATGAGGCCGAGCGTTGTCACGAAGAACGCCTTTCAACGTCTCTCGGTTTCAGTTCATAAGCCACTCAATTTCCTTGTTTTTGAATAATTCCCATGTCTCCCAATCGTACGGAAACGGCTTGTTGAGTCACTCCCAATGATTCTGCAAGCTCCTCTTGCGTCCTTTGACTCTGATCTTCTTCGAGTAATGCCTCTAATTCTTCGTCCTCGAATTTTTTTGGCTGTCCAGAGCGAGGCTTGTGTCTTCGACGCTGAAATCTCCATCCTCGAAACGTCGAAACCATTCCCTACATGATTTATCAGTTGCAGCAGCGTTACCATAAACTTCAACAAACATTCGATGGGCTTCAGCTGCGCTTTCCTTCCAATTAAAGCAGAAAATTAAAACCTCCCTCAAATGCTGCTTGGTTAACACAAAATCCGACACAATTTTCAACACTCTAAAAAGCAAGGTTTTTGTATGAAACTCAAAGCGATATAAACTGAATATTATTGGCAGATGTCTAACCTCTCGGAAACCGCCAAAATCGGCAGTCACTATGAACCATTCACAGCAGCCGGAGCCATCTTTTGAAAACGGACCGAACTAATTTGTACACCCAATATACATCGCTCGAGACGAGACTCGCGGGCGGTGTTACTCGAGCACGAAATGAGTGTGTTAGCGATAAAAGCGTTATTCCTCTGCGCGAATGCGCAGAAGACCGAGGAAGACTCGCGCGTGCAGCGGCGTTCTTATTACACACGTGACGTTTGTTCCCACGCCAGGATATAACTATAGTTGTATCAAGTGGTGGTGGAGGAGTACAGATGCGACGGGTATCACGGGAAGTCTGCCGCCTCGCTTGGATCATGTAACCTGAGTTATTCCGCGCGATCAGTATCGCGCGCGGTAAGTTCCTTCATTAAGTACAACGGCGGTGCTTAAAACTTGACTTAATCGGACATGTGCGGCGTCCTGCGACGTCGCCGCGCGCGCGCAACGCGACCGCTCGACGTTGACCCGGGGCGGCCCCGGGCCGGGGTGGGGGGTGGGGGTGGGGGGAGGGGGAGGTTGTATTACATCGCCAATGCGTCGAACAGTAAGCGTTACCCGTAGCACCGTCGCGCGTTAGCGCGCGTGACAGACGAAATTACGGCTGGCCGCGAGAGCCGCTTGCCAACTACGTGACTGACTGTGTGGCGCGATAACCGCTGAGAAACTTCTGTTTCAACATCGCCGAACCGAACAGAGTCGCCGCCGACCGACTAAATACGTTGCAACGTAATAACGTCACAAAGTAATTTTGCAAATGGTCCCGCAATCGAGTGCATACACATATGCCATTGTTCGGATATACTCGCCGGTCAAACGACATGCATGTATGCGCTTCTCTCAGCGAGCGGCGGCGGGCGCAAAAAGTCTCTCGCGGACGACGCATCATCCCTCTCGATAAAATTATTCCCGTCCCTTCCTCTCGCCGCGATCGCTCCGCCGTAAAAACTGTCGTTCGAGCGCAGCGCAACGAGTAATTCCATTGCCGACTAATTTCCAGAGACGTGATCTCGCGTTTTGCGCCTTTGCGTCGGTTCAAATACACACCGCGGAAATTTGCCCGAACGTCGAAAGGGGATATTACTTTGGAGTCGAGGAAGATTTCAATAATTATATTGCCATACGGATAGTTGACAGTTACGAAGATCCAAAAAGTCCCAAATAAGTTTTGCCTGAGAAATTATTCAAGTTCGCTGTCAATCCTCCCACAGCAAAATAATGAAGATTGCGTCGAGCGACTATTCGGCGTCTGTCGTTTCGCTGTTTCATCGAAATGTTCGGAGAAACGTACCGATCTGTCAGCGGAGTTATCACGAGTCTTCCGGTGTTACCTAGATACTCGTAACCGTACACGAAATGAGTGTTTGTCTGTCGGACGATGCAGTCCTCGATATCTTTCTCCCAATAAAATCTTAGCTGCGACAGCCACTCGAAGTCGGACACGTCTCTGCAATCTGAAAAATTTGAAAAGCAAGTTTGCTCTCTCTCTCTCTCTCTCTCTCTCTCTCTCTCTCTCTCTCTCTCTCTCTCTCTCACTCTCTCCTTTTCTCTCTCTTTCTCTCTCTCTCTCTCCCCGTCTGTCTCTCTCTTGCTTTTTATTCCCTCCCTCCCGAGTCGGGCTGATAATAATTTCAGAGTCGCGCGATTCGCGTCATTCGCAGTTTCGCAACGTGAATACGCGCCGCGAGCGGTATCAATTGTTTTGCTCAATTTTACTTGCACGCCGGTGGAAGCAAGTTGCGTTCGGAATTGTCATAAAATGTATCACGGAATTATCGTAATTTCCGAATCGTGAGCATTGTCAAGCTTAAATCAGTCTTTTGCTTTAATTGTTGCCGCTAAACTAATGAAACTCAAATTGCTCTTATATTAATGAGAATTGCGCGGCATAACTCACGGGTTCAACGCGGCGTGCTGAAAAATTACAACGTATAAAAAGAAACGCGCGAGACGTTCTCGCGCGGTAAATTTCCGCGTCTGTCTCGAATTCTCCGGAGAATATACTCTCTTTTTTTTCCCTTTCTCTCTCTCTCTCTCTCTCTCTCTCTCTCTCTCTCTCTCTCTCTCTCTTTTTCTCTCTTCTACCATCTCTTTTCTCCCGTCTTTTTCCCTCGCTCGATACGCCTTACAGATGTATATTTTTTCACGTGTATCCCTTTCGAGAAACCACTGATACACAAATTTACGAGGGAACGCAGCGGCGTTTTCTCACTGCAACGCATCATATCACCAGCGACATAACGCCGAAACGTGATGCGGTTGCCGCGTGTGCGGTCCTATAAAAGCCGTAATTTGTTGGTCGGTACGTTTCCGCGCGTTATATCGAGCGTGTCCTTGCGAAATAAATGTATGGTGAACGACTGTCGAATGCAGAATCGACAAGAGTCAGAGAGAGAGAGAGAGAGAGAGAGAGAGAGAGAGAGAGACAGAGAGAGAGAGAGAGAGAGAGAGAGACAGAGAGAGAGAGAGAGACAGAGAGAGAGAGAGAGAGAGAGAGAGAAGGTTGCCGTAGTAATCTCGCAAAATTGCAGGAATTTTGCAAATTGCGATGATCGGCCGATGCGCGCGGACGCAAACGAAAGCTCGGACTCACTCATTTTGTACATTCTCTCGATCACGTCTCTAGCGTGTATCTCGATCACGACGATGGCCTTGAACTTTAGCCGGTCGAGCTTGCTCAGCTCGCCTCTTATAGCCTCCGAATATTTGTCTAGCGCTTGATTCTGCTTCTTCCTCAACTTTCTCAACGGTTTCTTCGAGTCCGCCAACCTCGAGCGTAAATCAAACGAAATTAATTGAGTCGCGAGATAGCTAAGGTAACTGGCGTTTTGCAGAGCGCACGCTATCCGCACACTACATAATTTAAGTCCCTTTACGAGTTTCCGGAACGTCCCGGGAATATCTATTTCTTTAACGTTTCGTCGACGACACGGGCGTTCGAGCGGAGTATCGTCGCGGTAACAGGTTTTAGGTATTCCGGCGAGAAACTATTAGCGCTAAAATTTCTCAGCCTCTCGGTCAGAGATTTATGCATCGACCGGGATCGCATCGCGAGAAGGAGAGAATGAGAGGATGAGGGAGGGAGGGAGGGAGGGAGGGAGAGGGAAAAGCGAAGGAGAAACAGAAAGAGAGCGCAGCGTATGACGCGCGCTTCTGACAAAACCATTTTTTCCAGCCCTCGCGCCCGACCCTTCTCCTCGCTGCCTTTGGGGGCATCCCCCCTTTTTCCGAGACACTCGTGCAACGGAAAGATGGCGGTCTCGCCGGGCCTCGCGTGACACGAGCGTTACAGTAGGTGGGATTTTATTCGGTAGGTAGGTAGATAGATAGATACACGTAGGTAGGGATATAACCCGCCGTAGGTGTGGGTTAAATTATTCGCGGTACGGTTAGTACAGGCTAGTATATGCAAATCAGGTAGGAAGGGTGCACCTCTGCCCGAGGTGCCGTCGTCGCCGGATCGCAGGACGAGACGTAGAATATGCAAAATTTCTCTTATTAGAGTTGCCGTGTCTCCTGTCCCGCTACCGAGCATCCTTCGCGGCTCGCTCCATCTCCCTCCCTCCCACGGAGGGACTCCCAAGTCCCTTTCTCGCAGCGTACATCGCTACGTCGTTCTTTCGTTTTCTGTCTCTGTCTCCTCTAACCGCGCCCCGGTGTCCATCAGCCCCAGGCCGCCCTCGTGGCGCGCGTTTCAACCCCTCTCTCGTCTCGCCGCGCCTCATTGCCGCTCTTTTCGTGCGCGTCGCGCCCTTTCGACGACGTCGGCACTGTCCGTGCGTCCCCCATAACCAGCGCGCCGACGAAATTTCTGCACAGGCAACAGAGGCAACGGAGGCAGAGGACGCGCTCACTTGCAGTGCTGCAGGGTCCGCGTGCAGTCGCTCGTCCATTGGATTTGAGTGGACGTAATGCCCGGCTGGCCCGGCCACTCTTTCACCCACCTGTCGCGTTTCGCCAGAGTTTTTCGCAGCTCCGTCCGACAGTGCCTCAACACTTCGCGCAGGATCGCTCTCATCGCGGCCTCTGCAATTGCCACCAGCCCGGCTTTATTCACGCCCACAGCCTTCTCCCGCCGCCGCCGCCGCCGCCGCCGCCGCCGCCGCCGCCGCCGCCGCGGCCCGTTTGCGTTGGCGCATTTTTATCTCTCGCAAACAGAAATCGAAGTTGCACACGTCGCTCGCGCCCGGATAATTTACGGCAGAGCAGCGAAGCCCACGCGGCGCCGGATCGAGCATAAATTATGGCCAATTTTCCGCGCCGTGCTTTTATTTACGCAGAAGCCCTACGTACGTTGTAAACGGCATTCTTTGCTGGCCGATGCGCGCCACCGCGGAATATTGTAAATATTGGATGGGCCCGCGTTCACACGTCGCTGATCTTTCTTCTGCTTTTCACGACGACGCGGCGCGGCGCGGCGCACACGAAGGAGATTCGTCGCGCGGCTGCGGCGGCGCTTTCATATTTCAAAGAGTGCGAGGGAACGCCCGTTTCGATTTTGCAAAGAGCAATTTACGGTCTCTTGTAAATTCTCGCGTACATACGTATATCTCTTCCTACGCGCGTAACACGAGATTGGATTTATAACGTGGACATCTGAGCTCTCAGAATAAAATAACCGGAGCGGCGTTCTCGCGCTGCTGTATATATGTGTGTGTGTGTGTGTGTGTGTCTGGGCGCGTGTGAGACAAGAGGAGATTACATTCGGAAATTATATACCGGAATACCTCGCAAACGATTCCACCCGCTAGCGCTCTCTTGACGCGTGCCGCGGTGGGTTACCTGGACACGCCGTCCGGCGATTCTCATTGATTGTTCTGCGTCGTCTCGCGACGACGCGCGCTCGAGAAACGAACTTACCGACATCGAGCAGCCAATGCTCGACTTGACCCTCCAGTATAATCGGCTCGATAAATTCGATGTATTCTCCTTCGTCGGAGTGCATGCCGTCGGCGAAGGGTTTTCCAGTGACCGACTTAAGAGACAGAAAAATATGATTTTATATTATCAAGAGTCGCGCGATGCTGTTTATGCCAAGTGAGGGAGCGAGGCGCCGGCGAAGAAACGGAAGCGGGAAAAGAAGAAGAAAAAGAGGAAGAGGAAGAGGAAGAGAAAGAAAAAGAAGAAAAAAAAAGAAATGAAAGAGGAAGAAGAGGAAAAAACGGAAGAAGAGAAAGGGCAAGAAGAAGAGGAAGAGGAAGGAGAAAAAGAAGGAGAAGAAGAGGAGGAAGAAGAAGAAGAAGAAGAAGCAGAAGAAGAAAAAGTACCTTGCTGAGCTTCAAGGACTTGATGTTGCCGAAGAGCTTTCTGATATGCGGTTGCATGAGATCCGGCCGTTTGGAATACGCCAGGATCTCCAGTAGATCATCGTTGGAGACGAAATAGAATCTCGGAAATACGCGTCTCTTCGTCTCCAGGTATTGCTCGAGCGCCCGCTGCAACGCCTCCAACTTGTCATTGAGTTTGTTCAGGACTTCCAGCAAGCCGGCTAACGGGGCAGATAGGTGGGTTAGGGATGGCGAGAGGGATCGCCGGGACGAGGGGCGGAGAAAAAATGCAAATGCTTTCAATGGAATAGATTTACATTATTTTACAGTACGCGTACGCGTCGGCTCGTCGTCCGATCTTTTATTTCTTTTATTTATTCCCTCTTCTCTCTTTTTTTTTTCCCTCTCTTTTTTAACGCCGGGAACCGACAGGCGGTTTGTACGTATCCATTTACATTAATACTCGCGGGCCCGGTTCTAGCTTAAATAATTTCGATTCCGTTTTAATCCTAGTTTAACGCCCGCCGTGATCGCGCACTGTAAATGCAGCGCGCTTAATTGAAACAAACTTGTCTGTTTGTGCAACCGAATTGAATACATTTTTTCACAAAGTGTATCCCATCGAACACACGTTTCATTCCGGGCACGTTGCGTGCAGATGGGAAATCCGTCAGGGAAATGTTTAGATTGTCGTGAGAGGAATTTTATGCCCTCTGCCCCTCCTCCCCCCCCCCTCTCACCTTCGCGACGATTTTACTCATTTTCTCGATATATTACCGTGTACGTGCGCCTCCTTTCGGCTGCAAGAGAACGGGGCTACGAGAGTTAATCCTACTATACATAATCCGGTTGATTTAGGATCGGAGGTACATGTAAAGTAACTTGGCTCGGGATCAATTGTAATAAGAGATAATTATGACCCCCTCGTGATAATTTGAGCCCTCGTGATGTGCCATGTACATCGAGGAGAATATCAACTCGATGTAATTATATCTGTCCAAGCTGTCAGATTTTCATTGTAGCTTTGTGGAGAGCAAAGTGTACGCGTGTGCGCGCGCGCGTGTGTGTGTGTGAGAGAGAGAGAGAGAGAGAGAGACCGAAGTTTGATGCAAACACACGCAAGAGATGCAAATTCGTAATAAAGTCAAACCAGATATTTTCGTGTATATATCTAGCGTATATCTTGTTTTTAGAGAAGAGAGTTTTTAGAGAATCAGGCCGGCGAGCTACTCCTACTCCGAACGCTCGCCGTCGGATTTCCACTCGCTTGCGCACACACACACAGAGGAGCGCGTGCACCTGCACGCGCCTTGATTTTACGTTTAAGTATCCCCTTTGTAATGGTCCTTTGATAACACATACGTGGATCGTGAGTGGCTGGCAATGCCAAACCGTAGCCAGCCATCCTTGACGTGCGCTCGGTCCATTCGCTCGTCATCCTGTCAAAATCGTCCGTTTCCTTTGGGAGTTGTTTCCTGATGTCTTCGCTCGTGAATATATTGTCCAGGTACGTGTATTCCCTCTGTACAGCCAGTACCATTTCCAGAACTTCGCCGAGCGTCGACAACGTCCGTTCCCAGTAGTCGACTTCCTGGGCAAACGGATCCACGAACCTGGCAAAATTCGGCGTAATCCGCTTAATTTGGCGCCGTTTAGTCCACGGACGCGCCAAGTGTCCGGTCTAATTGGAACGGTGCGACGCACCTCGTCGACTTCATGGACGAGAGCTGCACCTGGTGGTCCTCCAGTGTTTGCATTATGTCGTCGGCTGCCTTCAACCTGTATATCCCTTTGTCTTTGTACGGCACCATCTCGATCGGCATCACCTCCCAGACCTCCTTGATGCGTTGCAGGCCCTGAAAAAATTGTTGGTGATGCGATCACGCTGACCGCCGTGACGCGCGTGAATCTCGATTATCAAGCGGCAAACTCACTTCTTCGATGGCCAGCTCCATCGTCGCCGCGTTCGAGATCTTGTCGATCTGCTCCGCAAAGTTCTGCAGTTGCATCTCGGCGATCGTGTCCACGGTGAACTCGTCCGACGTCTCGTCGAAATCGCGATTGACCGTCTCTTTGACTCGCCTCCAATGCCTCGGCTTCATCGCCGGGTTCTTCAGATTCGTGATTAACGGCAGCATGCGCCGAAACTTGTCGACCCTCGACCTGCGACGGACACATTTCCCGATGGGACGTGCACGTGTGTGCACAGCAATTACGCTTGTTCCCATTCTCGAATGCGTACTTTCGTACTTTCACGAGGCTAGGCTGCTAAAAATTCGCGGTGCGCAATCCTGCGATATGATCGTACGAGATGAATTATTGCAAGAACTTCGTTTCCGCGTTTACGCGAAGATTCAACGGGGAAATTAATTAGAATTTGAAACGTCGAGTCGTGTTAAAGCGAGATTATGATTTCCGATATTGGAGATTTATACGGGAAGATTTATACGGTAAAACCTTTCTCTCTCTCTCTCTCTCTCTCTCTCTCTCTCTCTCTCTCTCTCTCTCTCTCTCTCTCTCTCTCTGTCTTCCTCTCTCTTTTTCATTTCGCCCTTTATCGCGCTCGATTAATTCCTCTTCTTTACACGCCCAACAACAACGAGCTACATGCGCGATGTTTCTCTTCCATTTTTCTTTGTTTACCGTAATTGGTTGACCTCACAGCTGGTTACGCGACCACTCACAAAATGTGTACTTTGTTAGCATGAGAAAGTATCGCCAAAGGGACTGGGCGTACAAGTACGCCCGAGCAGTTTACGTAAGCTTCGCGCTTTCGCGATACAGAGGTTAATAAGCGCGCGAGTATGTAACATACGGGATTAAGCGCATTCTGTCCTTGCTGCGTTATTTCTTGCAAAGTAGCGGGCTGCCCAAGTGCGGCGCCGTTTCATTCGAACGAAAGTGGACAAAATGGCGGAAACACGCGGATTATATTCATGCACCGTCCGCATCGACACAAGCTCTCTTCTCTCGTTTTTTTCTTTTTTTTTTTTTCCCAAATTCTCCCCGTCATACGCCGCAAAAAACTGGTAGCGAAAACGTTAATTCACTCGTTACGCAGGCTTCGATATTTGCTGTTGAAGCGAACGTACGTTTCAATCATCAACAATTACTGTCGATTACGCTCCTGCTACCTGCGCGCTCGATCTCTCTCATCTTGCTGTCATTTTGAAAAATGGCCACCCATCGTCCATGGACGCAGTTTATACTGACGCGGCCGCTACGTTTCTAGCTTTCGCGCGACGCGCGATTGATTGGCATGTCGGCTAAAGGATGGCTTTAGCGCAAAAACAAAACCGACTGTTCCGCGGCCCGTGAAAGATGCGCGGAAACGGCGCATATTTAATGGCCCGGGCGTGCCCGAAAATTGCATCACGGCCGGGACGCACCTGGTATTCTCGACGATCTCCCAACTCTTTTCCCTCAGCTCCTTGCACAGTCTCGTGAGCTTCCGGAGCAGGAGATTAGCGGTCGTGTCCATCTCCTCCGTATCTATCGTCCAGAAATTTCCGCTCCTGTAGCGCTCCCAGGCGTCGTTCCACTCGTCCGTCAGTTGCCACACCATTTCGATCATCGTCACATCCTTCGCGGCCAGAGGCAATGTCGGACGGTTGAAAAGACACGCAAAGTATCGCGCGGGACTGGAAGCGGCGGGCTTACTTTCTCGAGTTGCGCGAGCTCCCTCGAATCCGGCCGACTAATGCCGAAAAACGTCAGCTGCGTATTCAGTAGGCTCTCCCGTTGCTTTATAAAGTGAATCTCTTTCCGAAAGTTCGTCAGCCAAGCCAAGGCGTCTGAAAACACGCGAAACGCGACGTGACCATAAAATAAGATAATTATATTCGGTCTCTCTCTCTCTCTCTCTCTCTCTCTCTCTCTCTCTCTCTCTCTCTCTCGCGCGCGCGAGGTGTCACACACGCCGTCGTCTCGCGAAAAGCAATTCGTTATTTCGTTTCGATCAAGTTGCCGCGTCGATCACTTAACGTTTGTGTCGCGTCACACACACACACGCACGCAGGGGCTCGAGTGTGTGTTCATGAACGAAAGGGTCGCGTGTTTATTTACACGTTCAAAGTTCACGTGGAAAAAACCCGGTGCAATATCGACAAACGCGCTTAAAATATCTGAACGCGGTGCAAAAACGTGCTCTGAATAAATAACACGCTTGTACTTTCCAGTGGCAAAAGCCATGGCTAGGATTTTTAGTCTATCTCTAATCTCCTTAAATTTGCACGTAGAGAATGTTACGCGACACAAGCGAGCGACCATTGCTATTGTTCAGCGCTTATCACACCGCCAAGAGATTCAACTAATTTAATAAAATAAGAAAGAGAACCAAGTTTCTTGACGAATTAGAAAATCGTTCCAATATTCTTTGCAATATTCGAGGCATTCTTCTCTTGTACTTTCAAATTTTTTTCCTCACTTCTCTTCCGTTCTCGTTCCGTTTACAAATTCGCAGGCGACTTCTAGTGTTGAACGTACAACGGCCAATATTATTTTAACCCGACCGTCGTTCGTGTCTGAATTGTTGCGCAAATCCTTTAGAAACTGTGAAATATGAGGTGCTTTAAAACTATAGATAAAGATTTAACTCGTTAATAGAACTCGCGGAAACAGATGGAAAAGATTTAAGATTTCAAGAACGTCTCGATCGATTCTGTTCGGTCGGCCAGCTCTCACCGCGGACTTGCCTTCACCTGTGACCCCGAAACATTCAGTTGTTTTTATTACTTTAACGCGTAGGTACACGTTGCATGTCTCAAGGGTAGTAAAGGTAGCTGATTTGCGCAGAGACTGCGGCGCTATCTCACAACAAGCGCGGATTTACACGACGGACGAGTACGCGTAAACCAATTTACCCTTTGAATCCCACTCGGACGTGAAGGGTCTGGTATCGTTAAATTTTCGCACCAACGAGGATGCATCTTCCTGGCACATTGTCGCATCAGCCAGCGATATTTGCTTAAACTCTTCCTGCAATTACGTTGAGACGATATTGACAGTCGAAAACATATCCCGAGTTACAACATGAATGTTCATAGCCGCGAAATCTATAATTCCCGACACCGGCCTGTCCTTTTTCACATTTTCGTCATATCGCGGCAGATTAATCTCCCCGTTAACCCCAAGAGTCCGCGCAGTAAGGTATATACAGGGTGCTAAATTTCAAACGTAACAGCTGAAAAATCTCGAAAACTATGAAAGATATTAAAGAAAAGCTAAAACACGTGTTCCATGATTTCGAAGGGGAAAGAGAATGACATTATCAGTTTTTTCATAATAAAAAGCCCAATTTTTTATTACATCTTTTTCTACCAATTAATTTAAAGAAACTTTTGTCTGACACATTTTTTTATTTGCCTAATATTTTTTTTTGTTAAATATTTCAGGAAAACTTGGTAATTTTTTCAACATTTAACATACGATATCTCGCTAACTATTTAATAATTTAATAATTTTGAAATTTCCAAAGGTCGATAAGTTAACGAAAGTTAGAGCACTATTGTAGTAATATATTCTTGACAGTAAATAAATTAAAAAGATTATCCGATATTATTTCTTCTCTCGACGAATAGTTAGCGAGATATCGTAAGTTAAATGTTGAAAAAGTTACCAAGTTTTTCTGAAATATTTCAAAAAATATTGGGCAAATAAAAAAATGTTTGAGACAAAAGTTTCTTTAAATTAATTGGTAGAAAAAGAAGATATAATAAAAAATTGGGCGTTTTATTATAAAAAACTGATAACGCCATTCTCTTTCCCCTTCGAAATCATGGAACACGTGTTTTAGCTTTTTTTTAATATCTTTCATAGTTTTCGAGATTTTTTAGCTGTTACGTTTGAAATTTAGCACCTTGTATATTAGGAAAATTGAAAAGAGCCTCAAATCAAAGTAGCCGGTACTGTTCTTCCACTGTTTAACGTCGACGCCGCTCTGTCGAGGTGATTCTAATTTTTTTGCAGCAAACTTTCCCAAGAGTTTCCCTTTTTGCCGAGAGAGAATGTCTTACCTTCTTCTCGAGAAGAGTAATTTTGCACATGGCAAGCAAGTCTAAGTAAGCCGCCCAAGAACGCTCGATGTCTTTTAATCTTCTCCTGAACTCGGGAGTCAGCGGCATCTCGTACCTTTCTGGAAATAATCGAGCGTCTCTCTCCATGATGTAGCATGTGCGATCGTCCGTAGTTGCACGTGCAAGATAAAACGATCACAATCCATCCTCTCGGGCGTCTTATTTCCGATTAAATCCCGCGCGCGCGCGCGCGCGATGTGTTTTCGAAGCGCGAAATCGACGGTCATATTTCCGACGAAACAGCTACATTCTCACGAACTTGTAGATCGTATCGCAAGAGCTCGCGAGCAATCGCGCTACACGTACTCTGCACGCCGGAGTAAACTCCGGCGATTTTATGGTGCATCGACCTCCTTATTTAGCACGGAGAAACATTTAGAGGTTTACCCAAACTTTGGTACTGCTCCAGGATCTTGGGAAACTCTTCCTCCTCTTGCGGAATCTCGGCGGTGAGCCTCTCGAACAATTGCAGCGCGGATTGCATGCTGATGAGATCCGTCGGTTCCTTCGTTATTCTGCAAACGAATGAATTCACGTACGATTCAGCTCGAAATTCAAAAAGGCCCTGCCCGACGGGATTTATGGGAGTAACGCCTCGCGAGCAACGCCTCTCCAGTGTTCCACTCGGCTTGAGGAAATTTACATTAATAGTATATCGATCGAGAGCTGAAAACGAATATAACTGAAAGATTCAATTACGCTATGGAGCGGAATGGATGATGTCGTGCTGCTCGCGGATGGGGATTTTTAGCGCAGCTCTAAGTACAATAGTGGTGACCTGCGAACTGCGAGTGCGATTAATTCTTGCCGGGTCGAGAAGAAGATTTGGACTTGGACGTACGTTCTTTTGCACACATTCTTAACACTTTGTATCTTTATATTATTAATTTCCCATCGTGCGATACGTTAGTCTTTGAGATGGTATTATTGATTGGTGAGATCCTTTATACAGAGAGGATCTCGTAGGTGTAACTCATTTTGACACTTCATAAAGAAATATTCATCAGATATGGGAGCTAAAATCTCCGAGGCTTTAAACATAATTTTCTTTGTAGCGTTCCTCTTTATAATTCTAAACTTGTACTCGTCTTCGCACAATTCTCGTTTTCGTTGAATATATATATTTCTCCAAATTTTCTTCTCGGGCTCGATACTTATCTACGTCTGAGCGTGAGTAATTATATGCGGTCAACTAACTCTGTAGAATTGTCAGCGATGTAATGATAAACGTGGTTGACCATTCCATCGGTGATACGCAATAAAAGGCCAGTGAGCTTTTGTTGCCAGACCGAACAATGTTCGATGATGGTGGATTTCAATCCATCGGAATTTATATCGAGGAAGTGTACCGTCGACATCGTTTCCTGCAGTTGGACGCTAACTACCACGTCGAAATATCTGTTTATATCCGCGTCGAAAGATGCGGCGGTTGGTTTTAATTTTTCATATCTGAAACACGCAGAGTTGAGTAATAAACTGTCACACTAGCAAGCATAAATTCAAAATTCAAGTGCATTTATAATCCATACTGTGGCGCCGATTTGTGTTCATCGATCTTTGAAAGACTTGTAAAAAATTGAATTGCAGTTTGCGACTGGGTAAACCATTAATTTTTCAAAATTGTGCAACAAATATTCCTAGTTCGTCCAATTTTTCGTACATTACCTTTGAATAAATAGATCCTTGTTCACTTCCCATATCTCCTTGAAAGGCTCCCAGTTCTTCAGATAGGTTTGTATTTGGACAAAACAATAATTTACCTCTGCAAATTCGCGAATTAATCCATTCAATATATATATATCTATCTGTCCAGATATAGTACAAAAATAGGAAGCAGACTAAACTTTGACAAATCAGAGAGGGGACAATTATTGATCTCAAATATTTTAAGGTAAACACTTCAACGAAATCAGAATTGATTTTCGACCGAGGACGACTTCATGATTATTAAGATGAAATAAAAATCATTAATACTGCAACGAAACACATTCGATGTCGTCAATGCTGACGCAGCAACGTAGCGGGACTAAACAAATAAATACAAAAAGAAAGCATGTGGGAAGCTTAATGGGGGATACGACCGTTATTGAGTTTCTGCTGGAGTTCGATCAACTCTTTGTCCTGCTCGTATAACTTTGACAAGGGCAAGCCCTTGTATCGAATTTTAAATTTCTTAGCTAGCCGCGAGACATCTTTCAAAGGCTCCAGCAAAATATTCCAGATATTTCCTATTACTGTAGCTATTTCCAAGAGGCTCGGCACGAAGTTTATCTGGATAAATTCAGCAAAGTGTTTAGAGTGTTTACGCTGTGCGTAAATGTTGCTTTTGCAGCAAAGCAGGGCCGACCCAGCGGTCGCGGATAAAGTATCATCGCTCGCCCGTCGTCGTCGTCGGATTAGGAAATATTAAATTATCATTATCGACGTACACACACACATACATACACGCGCGCGCGCGCGCGAGAGAGAATGTTACGATGAGACCGTGTACCGAACATTGTTGCGCGATATGTTCTACATGTTACGCAAAGTTATGAACACACTTTGTTATCGATAATATCCGCTTGCACCAGCAGAAGAGGCGAGGGTCCTGTCGTGCCTGTGCCATGAAGGGCTTCGTACATGATGGTCAAAGAACTCTCCAAACATAATCTGATGGCTTGCTCGATTACCGTATCGATTTTCGTTAAATAATCTTCCCATTCAGCGCGACTCTAAAGGGGAAGAGGTTGAGAGCGGTGGAGAATTTCACGCGCAAGTTTATGCAAGTGAGGGTATTAAATAAATATGTAAAAGTTGCGCTTCGCGTTGCAACGCTTGCGCGAGTTGAAAGTGCGCGGCAACTGCCGGTTTACACGCAGCGCAGCGTGTAAGAAGATAAACGGCAGGAGAATTTACGACCTTTATATAATCGGTGATTCGTAATCGATTCGATAGACGGCAGGTGGTAGAGACGAAGCCGAGAGCGCGCGCGCGCGCGCGCGCTATCACGGAGATTGCTCGCTTACGACCGGCCGTGAGACTTTTTGAATTAACCGTGGAAGCACGTGCCCATGCTGGCAGTCACGTTACGGAACGACATATCGTATCACGGATCTCTACCGTAAATGCGCTCCTTACTTCTCCGACTGTAGTTATCCGACGAGGGTTATCGTCTCGCGGAGTATAGCCCGCGGCTACGCACTACACATACTGTGTTTTCTTCCCCGCGAATATTCTTTCGCCGAGCTGACTCGCGTCATTTCCGCGTTTGCGTGATTTTGCGAGATTTTACGAAGATTGCGGCGGAACCCGTGAAAAAGTTTCGTGGGTCAGCTGCCCCAACAAAGCCGCCCTGCTGAAGCTCGCTGAAGTCTCGTGGAAATTCGGTAAAATCGGTTCCTCCAAACACGCTCCTCGTGTCGTCGCGAGGGGGGACGTTTAGCGTCGCAAGCGAGTGAGACGCAAAGAGAAACGAGAAACGAGACGACGACACACACGACACATATCGAAATGAAACAATAAAAATTGCGCCCGGCCCGGCAGAGGCGGAACGAGCGTCTCTCGATCTGCATAAACGAAGTGGCGAGAGAACCGCACCTCCTCCATCACGCTCTTGAAGCCCCCGTAGATCTCCATAACGTGCCGAAATATCGCGTCGAGTCTCAGAGTCATGATCTGGAACGCCTCGTCCCTGGAAAGCGAGAGAGGAAATTCGAGCGATGCGCGCGTTAAGTTTCAGTCACGCGTCTGAATTCGCCGCAGCCGATGCGACGACGCATGCGGGGCGTTTCCTACCTTACGTGCAGCAGCTCCCGCTCCAGCACGGGCAATGTGTACGTGTAATTAACCCTTATCCTGATCATGGGAGTGTCGCAGATGCTCTCGCTGATTCTTACGATCTCGGAGTTGGAGTTCTTGTAAGTGTCGATAAACTCCTGGAACTGAAGGCGAGGAATAATTCAATGTCCGAAGAGCGAGGCCGATCGACCGGTCCGAAAACGCGAAATCGCGAAATCGACGAGCGACGGGAGAAATCCGCTTCGCGCGCGACGATCCGGACGCGCGTCATATTTTCGCACGGCGCGCTCGTATTTCAATCGGGATGCGCTTCTCCCGGCGCGTCGCGTCGCGTCGCGTCGCGTCGCGTCGCGTCGGCACGGAAGTCGCGCGGAGCGGGAATGACGAATTGTTCCGAAAGAAATGGAAACGGCGCGACAAATATTCGCTACTCAAATGTTGATGAAGTTCTTCCTCGTACCGTACGAACGCACATTCCTGCCGGCGCGCGCGCATATATATATATATATATGTATAAATACCCGCCGCATCATAATTATTCCGTTTCTGCATTATACGGGGTCCATAATTAATTGTTCAAACGCAGGTAGACAGCGAGCGGACTGCACACGGGCAGTCCAAAATTAAATTTTACCGCGCGAGGCGTCGTACATATTGCATGAATTTATACGGACTCCGCGCGTGGATGAGGTAAGAGACTCTGGGCGTACATTGGTCGTTTCGTTGAGACAATCCTCGATGTACGAGTCCACGTAATCCGTGTTCCACGTCAGCTTGGTTAAGCCGGGATTGATCTTACGGTCGAGCTGCCGAATTAATTCGCGAAACAGCGCACGTTCCGTCTGCGACAATGCTGAAAAATACAAGTCTCGCTACGCTGTAAGAATATTTCGGACGCGCATGCGCCGCTGAAGGTACGAACGCTGGATCGAGTATGAGAAGAATGTCGCTCTTATCGCGCGCATTAGACGCGCGCGCGTGTGCTAATGCGCTATGAGCGAGCGCCGCTCAGCTGAATCGCGTCATCAGAATATTTGCATGATACAAGCGCTTGTATCTTAATCGGAATGCTTTTTCAACATCGGCAGAAGGACGTTAAATTTCCACATGTGAGCATTAACGCGCGTGTGCGTTCCCCCGGTGGATGTTTTAACCAATTGCGAAACGCAGCGCCGCAATGTGCGGAACAGTTTGGACAAGAATGTAAGGTAAAACTGCGCTCCCGGCGAATCGCAAGAGGATTTCTTCGCGTTGAAAACATTTTTAATTATACGTCGGGCACTCCGCGTCGATGAAAGCTCCGCGAAAGCTGACGAGACGACGTTTCAAAGTAATGGAGAAACACTGTCTCTCTCGTTATATATCCCCCTGCATCTTCGAAACTCGATTCGTCAAAAGCGACACGGAGAGAGCTTCATCGAACTGGGATAGTAATTAAAGTTTCGTCAGCGCGAGTCGTCGGCCCTCGAAACTGCTCGTCGAGTCTGCTCGTTGACGCCCCGTCTTCGACGATCCATGCAGATTGCGTAACCGCAATCCTCAACGTTCAACCGTTCGATGATCGAGGCCAAAGTCCTACCTCTGATGATTTTGTTGTACGCCAACGTGACGGCGTAGACGCTCTCTCGTGTGAAATGTAACGTCTCCTGCTTGTCGTATATTATTTGCACGTGCACGGGTATGGTGAATCTCAGGCTGAGCCAATAGGACGACTCGCGACAGAGATCCAGGATACCAGGGTCCACATTGCACTCCAGCAGGCCGGACCTGTCGTCGCTGCGTCGCATCAGGAAACGGTCGAGTCGCGAGCGCGGATTCTCGCCGACGTTTTGCAACCATTGCGCGTACAGATTCTTCACCGCGTCCTCGATGGATCTGATGACGATGTCCTGCTGGCAATAGACCTCCATGCTCATGCCGCAGTACGGCATCCACTCGGCCTCCTCGAGAACCTTCCGCGTCGACAGCAAGCGGTCACCCTTCAAGCGAAGATTCAACGCCCTGCCGGCGTAGTACGGCGTGATCGCCGGATATTCTTCCCTCTCGTGCAGGACCTCCTGCTTCGTCCGTTGGATATCCTCGGCGAACATCTGCCACACCTGAGCGGGAGCATCGACAAAGTTGTCGCTCTCGAGTGTCGCGCTCGTTACCTTTCGTCTCGGTGACTCGAGATGATTCGTTCGAGCACTTGGCCCGAACATATATATATATATATATATATATATATACTCGTATATATATAGTCGCGCTGGAGATGCAGCTCCGGCACACGTTCGAGTGTTTTTAAGATTTTTAACACATTTCAAATTTCTTTCCTCTTCCCGCGCCCTTTATCCGTGTATTTTTCCCCGCTCGTGATGCAACCGGATTTAAAAGCTTGAAAATACATGAAATGTTCGCGGAAAGGTTTCTACACATATGCGCGCGGTGATGTTTCCCTCGCGCTAAGCATGGCCAAAAACAGAGCAGCACACATCTATATATCGGGTAATATATTGTTCCAACAGCGCCGTGAATTTGATTAATTTGATGATTTTGAAATTTGCGAAAATCAGCAAGTTAACAAAAGTCAGGGCGCTATTGTAAAAATATATTCACGAGACTGAATAGAGCAAAAAAGTCTAGTACCACTTTTTCTTCCGATGACGAATAGTTCGCGAGATATCGTGAGTTAAATATTGAAAAAGTTTTATCAAGTTTTCCTTAAATATCTCAAAAGATATTAGGTGAATAAAAAAATATTTCGGACAAAAGTTGTTGAGATTAATTGCTAGAAAAAGATGATGTAATAAAAAATTGGGGTATCCGTTTAAGATTTTTTGATGTTGATCTTGACTGGAATTTACAAGGTTATCCCAGCTGTACGAATCAAATTCATAGCGTCAGCAAATAGATCCTTTGAAGCCCTACAACTTTTTTGTCTGAAATATTTTTCTCTAAAATGTCGCGTTAACGAAAAAATCGGGTGACCCGGGTGGTCTGAAACACCCGCCGGTACAATAAGATGTAAAATATGAAAAAATACGAAAGAGGTTAGCACGATTTTCAGAGTTCGCCGTGCACTCTTTGTCGTTCCCTCCGAGACCGCTGTCTCCACTTTTGGAGAAGGCGGATCGGAAAAAAAAAGAAAAAATGACGGCGTCTGGCGTTTACAAATTTTTCCCTCACGCTTGTGTTCTTGCTCTCGAACAGCGACTTCAGGTTCTCGCGGTTCAAATAATTGTAGAAGCTGCGCAGATCCTCGATCCCTTCCTGCACATTGTTAACGTTACTAAAGACTGTGGCTATCAGGTTTTCGATCATTATCTCCAAATCCCTGACTTCGGCGTGAAACACGAGCATATCATCCTGCCATGTGGAATCGTGAACGGCGAAGATCTTGGCCGAGTTCGCCTCGATTTTGCGCAAGGCCTCGTGGAAGAGTCTTTCGATCTTTTGACACACTCTCTCGCGCTCCTCGCCATTCGTGCCGCTGAACTTGGGACTCGAAATCTCTGTGGTCTCGTCCAATCTACGCGGAGAAGTTCGCGCACGTTCACGTCGCGTCGTACGTATAATAACTCGCAAATAGCACCGCTTGCAAACTAACGCTCGAGCTTAGCGCCGCAATTTACAAGAAAGTTCGCCGGCGTAGCCGGTCTTTTTTCCCATCCCGAAGTAACTTGCGGAAAAATAGGATACGGCGTACTCTGTGTCGTACGATGTGTATTACTTGGACCTTGCAAAATCAATCATTGCTTGACAAATCCCGATCATATCCTGACACCTGCCGATGAAAACGTCGACGTAACGAAATATGTTCTCCGCGTCCAAGTCCCAAGGGTGCCACGTGAGATTGATGTGGGCGTTCGCGATCTGAAAATTACCGGACGGAATACATTGAGAGGAGTTTGCCTTATTGAATACAGACGCGATCGCGCCGCGCGAAACGTTCGAGCGACGGTTGAAAAGTTCAAGTTGCACGTTTTTAACGTGCAGGCCTGTCGAGAAGCGAGTTGCAGCGAGTGTTGTTATTATTATCCGTTCGCGGAGTTTATTTGTGGATTTGGAAAAAAGAGTCGAGGATGTAAGCGGCGATTCGCTTAGTATTAATCTCACGAGTGCTGTGAAATACACTCGAGGATTTTTGCTACTACTGCTGATCACGGCTGATCCTTTGTATACGGGATTACAGGAGAGGGAACGTCGCAGAAGACGCGGAAGACGCAGAAGCACGCGAGGACTCAAAGATATGCGTTAGCGACCCGTAAAACTGTGTGTAACACGATTGCGCGGATTTTCTGCACGAAAGTCCAAGAAGTCGTGTCACCTATCCCTTCGGGCACATGGCGTGCTCACCCCTAGCGCAACTCGAGAACAAGTAGTCGGGAGAACCGACGCGTCACACCGTTTCCCAATTCCCACCTCTATTCTGGCTTATCTGCCCACGGGAAAAGCCGTAAGTCGGTGTTATATTGCGACCTCCACTTAAAGTGAAAGCCCGTTTTCACCTTGCTATTTCGTCCCGCTGAAAAGCGTCCGCTGAGTCGAGTTGCTATTCTATCTTTAACGCCCGCGTCTACGCTCACCTTCACGTCCACGTCAGCTAACCGCGTGAATATTAAAAAATAAAAGCCGGCGGAAAGATACACGCCGACATGTTTTTGTGCAACAAAAAATGTGCAACGAATCTGTAAGATTTGAGAATAACAAATACCGTAAGACGGCAGGACGTCTCAACACGTACGTTCGAAAAACCGGAGTTCTACCTTTAACCTATTTCATCAAGCACTGCTGAGAACGGTCGTTTATTCGACTCTGGGTACGCGGGAAATTGTCACACGGCGAAGATACAGTCGTGCATTTTCACTGACTGTGCTCGTGAATTTTCGGTTATTATCCCTAATCATAATTACCGTTGGAAGCCGAGATCACTTTGTAACTTCCGCATTAACGGGGAAATTCATCCTCGCGTTGTCCAACAAGAGGTCTAAGTAGCTAAAGTAGCTGTGCACACATAATTTAATGGGAGTTTAACTCACCGGTTGGAAGGTGAATTTACAGACAGCATAAAGTACTACGTTTTATACTCTGTTCTTGTATGCGGGCCACCAGCCAGCTTTTGCGCTCGCGCGAGACGTTTTAAAGGCATGCTTTTATTTATTAATTACTGCGATAAATAAATAAATATATATATATATATATGTATACGAGAGATGATATATACATATGAGAAAAGCTCGAGAAGCCGCATGAACATTTCATTATCGTACAAATGTTTCAAGTGCTGTTCAATTTCTAAAATTAGCCAAGCTCGTGATAATCTCTTTGGTTGAGATCTTCCTGTAGAAAAAGCTGGCAAATGAAATCAGATTCTTCCGATACGTTTCACAACAACGTTGTACAACAACGCCGACCAATGAAAAGCAAAGGCGCGACTCACTTTATAGTAGAGGTCCTTGTAATCTTCGCACAGTTTGATGCACTCCCTGAGGATGTCGATGTTCTTCCTCGTTCTCCCGGCGAACACATCCGCCAGGTCGACAAAGTCTTTGCACAAAACGATGATCTGGTTACTGAGCGCGCTGAAAAGGTTGCCTATCCTCTCGCGCGTATTGTAGTAGGGCGAATTGAGCCAAATCGTCCTGAAGAGATGCATCATCTTCGGCAGATGTTCAAGTAGACTCGCGGGAGTCTCGCAAGTCTCCAATTCACCGCAGGGGTCCTTCAGAATTCCGAGGTACTCGATGTTCGACTTCGCCTCGACCGTACCGTGCTCGATCTCGTCCCTCAGCATTAGGAACTGACGTATGTAAGTAGACTGTGCGGCCAATAATATGTCGACGATCAGCTGCACCGTGCCGTTGTGCAGCTGATGGTTCAGACCGCAGAGATTGTCATCTGACGAAAAGGGTATTATCGCACTAGTCGAAATAAGTCAATTACGCGGCAGATATGCTCGCGTGAAACGCGAGCCTCAGCGAGAGCTTTCCACAGCCGAATTAAGCTCGCTCATTCGCGAAAATCAACGAATCGGACGAGACGTCACGGCGAAACGTCCGTCCGCAAAACTCGACGTGCGCGCGAATCACGAATCACGGACGCTCGCGCTGCGACCCCTCCTCCCCCCTCCCCCTCTTCCTCTTCCGAAAAAGAAAAACAAAAAAAAAGAAAAAAAAACAACGCACTGCGACAAGAGGATCCCGCTCGAAAAGGTCGCATCAGAGGAGGAGAAACTTTCGGACCCACGCGGAAAATCCCCGGGACATATATTATCGAGAAACGATTCCGCGCCCGTGGCCGCTACACGACGTCTTTCCCTCGTAGGTAAGCACTTACATCGATAAATCCAGAAGCCATATTCGTCGTCGAGGCACAGTAACTCGCGCGGCGCCGCCTGCTCCTGGTCGGAGAGGGCTATTTTGATTTGGGTGTCCCAGTGAGCCACCATACCCTCCAGTCTCTTCACCAACTCCTTATCGGCGCTACCCTCCTCCACGGTGAGCTCCCTACTCTCCAGAGGTACATATATCACGGTTAAGCCCAGCATTTTGTACGTGAGGTCCGTTAAAGCGCACAGGAAGGTGTCCAGTTTGGTGCAGAAGTCCGCTTTCACACATGTGTGTGTGCGCGCCCGCGCGCGTTTCGGGGCGCACGAGATTAAGGAAAAGAAAATCCGGCGGAGAACATGAGAGAGAGAGAGAGAGAGAGAGAGAGAGAAACTCGCTCGTTATCGCCGCTTCCGCCGATACAGTCATTTTTTATGCCGCTCGAGCCGTCCCGACGTCTATCGCGTACTACTATTGTAGCTTGTATCCTCCTGGCTGCACGTCCGCTGATGGAGATTTATTGAGCTGAATTGCGCGCCGTGTATATATCGGGACGGGGATATCGGGCCGATCGACTACATTGTCGCGTCAACGTTTTACAAGCGGAGCGTGTAACTGCGGCGGCGTATTCTAGTCGAATGCGGGGCGAAAAACAGCGGGGGAGGGCGCGGCGCGGACGCGCTACTTAACCCGCGACTGTCTGCGCGAGTCTTTGACGATTGACGAGCAGAAATGTTTTTATTCTTCCATTCTTCCGTCACCGTCTGTCATTATCTCGCGAATTGGCGCTCGCTTCGTCGTCGTCGTCGTCGTCGTCGTCGCAGATCACGACGACTAGAAAATTCAGATTTACAAGTCGCGAGACGAATCACAACGATTGCCGCCGCCCGCGCAGCCGCCGCCGCCGCCGTCTCGCCGACGACAAAAAGTTAGCAGCGGTTAACTTCCCGACACAATTAGCAAAGCGACGCTTCGATCCAGTTAAAATCCGGTCGGGATCCATTAGAAATAATGAAGTGCCTGCCGTCCGAATGCGATGCAATCGTTTCTAACTCGACGGCGCGGTAATCCCGTTCGCGTACGTGGGCAAACATCGACGCTGGATTCACCAGCGGCGGTGAGTTGTGCAGTGCATTTAGCTGAAAATTATGGTAATAATAACTTCGCGCAATTCCCCGGCGTCCTCGTCTCCCCCACTCTACCCCCCCCTCCCTAACCCCCCCGCGCCCCGCCCATCACTCGGCAACCCTCCCCGCGGACGAGCCGGAACTTTGCGTTGTGCGTGGCGGTAACGGGATTGCAGCGCTAAAGTTGGCAATTCAGTTGGTAATGTCATCACGTTAGATTGTTATGACCTTAAGCCGTAGCGACTATGGACGATCGCGACGCGATCGCCCTTGGCATTGCGAGATTAGTCCCGCCGTAGTTCCTTTATCAGGGCTGTCGATTGAAGCTACAAGCTACGATCGATCGATCGATCGATCGATCGACTCGGCGCGCGTCACAGGATTATCGCGCGCCGGTGGTTGCGTCCAACCGACTGACACCTGAATGATAAGCCGACTGACATGTCGACCGACGGCTGTTCCGTAGCTTGGCAGAAAAACAGATACATCGTGATTAACATCGCGGCCTCTCCCGATAGGCAGACGTCCAAGACCTCGTGATATCGCCGAGCATTAAGCGCGACAAGCGTGACGCTTATCGCGCCTCGAAGAAGGCGATGCGGTTGGCGAGCGCTTATCCGCGGTGATTTAAACGGAAACGCGCGAGCGAGGAAACGAGGGAAGAGGATTCGCGGGCGATAACGCGCTGATTACGACGGCACACCGGACGAGAGCGAATCCGCGAATTCGCGGCCCGCGAAGGCGAGCGACCGATCGTGTATTACGCGACGCGGATATATCGGATTGAATCGCGAGCTGTCGCGGGAGATAAAGCGCGCGCGCGCGCGCGCGATGTCTCCCCGGGGCGTCCTTCGCCGGCGAAGCTTTTTAAACGTACATTTAAATCCGCGAAAAACTTTAAATCACCGCGCCGACTGTAAAATCAACCGGTCGCGCGCGGGGCGGGATTTGAAAGTTAAACAGAATTTACATAGTGCGGGCAACGACGAGGCGCGACGCGGCGCGGCCTCAAGTGGGTCACTTGGGGTGCCGCGGAAAGACCGACGGGGATGATATCGTGCCTGGACTCAATTAAAGTTCCGTAACTCGCGATCTGTGTAATGTACATTATTTGCCGAAACGAAAGAGGGAAAAAAAAAGTAAACCTAGGAAGGAGAGAAAGAGGCGGAAGAGAGAGAGAGAGAGAGAGAAAACAGCGACAGAGGGAGTGAGAAAGAAAGGGGGGAAAAAACTTGGCGAATTTTTCCCGCTCGGCCGCTCGGATCGTTACGACACTCGGCGGCCAACCTCGATCGCGGGAGGGAAAAGTTTTTCGCATTAATTAGGCGAATAATCAATCGGCTGCTTCGACGGCCGCGTAATATAATGTAACACGGGCGGGGCCAGCGACCGCTACAAGAGGATACTGTCGGGCCAAGTGTCGATGGTGAAGAAGATCGGCGCGAGCACGTTCCGAATGATGGCCAGCGTATGACTCTCGGCGTTGTCGTTGACCGAGCCGAAGAGAACGCGCTCGCGAAAGTCCTCCGGCTGGAAGACCTCGTTGCGTTGCCTCGCGAAGTAGTTGAGCTCGCGCACGCTCGGCGTCGGGAACGAATGCTCCGCGGTGAGGTTGCCGCACGAATGATAGATGCAGAGGATCGGCAAGCTCGGGTTCCGGAAGAACTCGCGGGTGTACGCGTCGCACTGAGGCGACCAGTCGAGGTCCCGCAGGCCGCTCAGGGTCGTCATATCCTTGACACTTCGAACCTGAGGACAATCGTCGCAGCACAGAGAGCGAGTCGGAATCAACAGTTTTATGTTCATGTCACCCGATTCGGAATCCTCACTTTTCCGAGTTTCAAAACGCGCGCTCGCTTACCAATTCGTTCAGTTCATCCGCGCTGTATCTCGATCTCGGCCCGATCGCCGCGGTCTTTTCGTATTCCTCCTCTTTGTCTGTAACAAGAGCCGCTCGATAATCGCCCGTATCGTGGTTCGTGATGGTACCTAGCTGTCGAAAGCGAGACATCTCTCTCTCTCTCTCTCTCTCTTTGTCTCTCTTCCTCAAGCGGGGTGCATCGCGCGAGAGAGGCGCGAGCGCGCTCCTCGTCGTAACTAATAAAGGCACACTGGAAAGGGGAAACAAATTCCACGCGACGCGCGCACGAGGCCGTTCGTTAGTCGTCAATTGGAACGGCTCTCGATGGGTCCTCCTAAATCCGCCAGCCCGGTTAAATAGAAGACATTCGTTCTAAGGGTCTCTCGTTCGGCCCGATATCATCCCTCAGGCCTCCTACCTCCCCCTGCGCTACCTCCTCCTCGTCTCGAACGATCTCAGGCCGTCGCGCAGCCGCCCATTCGCCACCCGCTCGCCTTTGCTCTCGGCAATCTAATAGGAACTATAAATCGCGAGTAGCTAATAAATCGACGGAAGAGGAAACACGTCGCGTCGCGCCGTGATCGAGACGCCACACCGTGCGCCACGTTGCGGCAATTTATCCCGCTATGATAGCCGGACATTATGCAGATACCATGCGCCGATGTCTTCTTCTTCCGCGACGCGCCTCTCGCGACTTATCGTTCTTTCGTCCTCCTGCTCCTCTCGTCTCGCGGCGCCGATCGTCACCGCCACCGCGCGCGAAATTATTCGCATAGTTACGTTATAACCGCGCGCGACCGAGCAGAGGAATTACGAAACCGAGCCTCGCTGTTTCCATCAACGACTTACCTCGGAATGATGGATCGCGCTAGTGATTCGACTCTCTCTCTCTCTCTCTCTCTCTCTCTCTCTCTCCCCCCCCCCCTCTCTCTCTCTCTCTCTCAGTTGTTATTTGGTAAATATATAGAAAGGGGTACACCTCACCGGTTTTTTTCATTTTGAAATATGTTATAAAGGATGAAATTCTGAGTGACTTTACCTGATACAACTATATGGGGGTCGCTTATAGTTTCCGAGATATTTGACTTTAAAGTTTTGGAATTTTCATGTTAAATTTCAGATATCATAAGCTGACGTTATTTACAGTACAATCCAAATAGTTAATCCAAACATAGTATATATACATAGAAATATAGGAAACAGTACATATAAGCGGAAGAGGGGCTCCGCCACTCTCTTAACCTAACCTAACTTGTTGCATCTTTATATATTGCTGGGCGATGCTGAAAAGATCTCCTTAAAAGTCACAACACCTAATTATATGCAGATATTATAAATTAAGTTGAGCCAGGTGATAGATCTTAAGAGAACTTTTGTCAACAATGTCCACAAATATATAAAGATGCAATAAGTTAGGTTAGGTTAGGATTTGTTTGGGGAGGGGGTGCGGGGGAGGGGTGGAGCCCCTCTCCCGCTTGTATGTACTGTTTCCTATATTTAAAGTGAATGAAAATTACTTGTCCGCTTCAAATACACTTCAAACATACTTCAACGTACAATTATAAAACTTTAAAGTCAAATATCTCAGAAACTGTAAGCGACCCCCATATAATCGTATTAGGAAAAGTCACTCAGAATTTCATCCTTTATAACATATTTCAAAATGAACGAAATCGGTGAGACGTACCCTTTTCTATATATTTATCTGTTATCTTAATATCGACGTGGTCGCGCTCGTCTCGCGTCCATTTCGTAACGAAGAAACATGCGCACGAGGAACGATTCAACAGATATATATATATATATATATATATATATATATATATATATCGTCGCTTAATTCCTTCTCCGTCTGATTGAGCAGCCGCACGTGTTCCCCGCGAGCGGGGAACGCCTCCGGCGCGACGAAGAAAATCGCGCTCCTCAATCACGCGTACGTGTCATGTGACATTAATCGTTCGCAGACCGCGAACTCGCAGATCCCGCCAATCGCTTCGCGCCCCCTCCCCCCGCGCGGAAGAGTAGCCTCTCTCCGGCGTTTAATAACGTTAGTCCGCGTTGGCACGCGGATAGACGTAGGTAGTCCGTGCATATAGATTATCGGTTTATCCACAGTTCACCCACTTTCGGTCGGTGTGAGCACCGATGAGAACTCGCTGGCGGACGAATTAGGTTCATTTTCCAACGTGCGGGAGGACGGACGCTGGATCGGGGTCGAAGGGTAAATTGCCATAATCCCGGGGACAAATTAGGAGCCGGGCAGTAGCGCGGAATCTGCGAATGACCGATTAATCGCCGCCGCAAGTTGCCGGGTTACGCGCGATATATCATAATTATTGAAACGGAGAGAAGAGGGAGAGAGAGAGAGAGAGGGAGAGAGAGAGAGAGAGGGAGAGAGAGTCGGTTTATTAATACCGGCCGCTCTCTCGCTACGCTCAGGCGATCGTACATCGATCACAGCTATTTTGTCTTTGAGGCTACCGCGGAATTCATGTTTGCCTCGAACGCGCGCCGGCGCGCTAAAGCAGCTATTGTAATTGCAAATCGCGAATCGTGTGCCGTCGTCGAATTCGCGAATTTGGACTCGAGCGACTACGAGCGTCGGGTGCGCGGGGTCAGGGCAAGTTCGTTCCGCGTGTACGCGGTTAATATGCGGTTATTATTGTTGCCTCGTTTAATACATATTTACGGAAGTAGTATCGGCTCTCTCGTAAATAAGTATCGTAAATCGAGAGCGCCGGGCGACACGAATTATGCGCGCGCGAATTGTTAAGTGAATCGATCGCTCACTTTCGACACGTAATTAATCGACACGTGTTGCTATAACTGTGTGACATAAAATATTCGCGAATTTGTTAGTTTGCGTGGAACCGCGAATCCCGCTGCGAGACTCGCGAGTGTTCGCGGTTTGCGAGGGGTGTGTTTATTTATTTATTTATGTATGTATGTATGTATGTATGTATGTAGGTATGTATGTACGTGTGTCTATGAAAGACGTGAAGGTTGAAGGGAAACGAGCGGCGAGACGGTGATCGATACGGAGCGATCGATACGGCCGGTCTCTCGCCTCTCTCCGAGGGCCGTCAAAAGTGAGAGAGCCCGTTTAATATTCTCCTCGCGAATGCGTCGTCGTCGACTTGGCGCGTCCGCGATACCCAGCCCAGAGTTTCGCGGCCGGTGAATTAGATGAGACCGATAACAGCGCTCGCGGTGAGATCGTGCGAAACAGAGGACGTTGGACGGATCTCTCTGGGAAGGAAGCGTGTGTCGGAAGTGGGACAGGCAGCTTGAAGGAGCCGAGCCGCGAAAGGAGCGGAAAATCGGGAGAGCAGCAACGAGGAGGAGGAGCGCGGGCGCGTTTAATATTTTTCTCGTAAATCTCACCGCGCCTTTCCGCTTCATCGCTGGACTCGGCGTCCAAGTACTCTCGGTGTGGGTCCGGGGGCGGCTTATCTTTAACTTTATTTCTCCGTCTTTGCATTTTATTGACGGGGTTGGCCTGCTGGCGTCGTCACCTCCCTCTCCTCTTCTCTCTCTCTCACTCACTCACTCTACCTCTCTCTTTCCCGCTCGAGCCTGTGCAGCTGATTTATGCGCCCGGTCCGACTGTTACGGCGCCGAATCTTTCAGCGTTTCTCGCCGTAGATATCTTGAAGCACCAGCGCGAAGTTGGCGAGAAGGGAGCGAGAGAAGGAGGGAGGGAGGGGGAGAGAGAGAGAGAGACAGGAGTGGTCTAGGCGGTAGATCGGCTTCTGGACCGATCGTTCGTTGTTGAAGCGGTTCTCAATATCTCGCCAAAAGCGAAAAAATGCACCCCCGTTCCGCTGTTCATGAGCTCGGTTGAGCGAGAAAAGACGTCGCATTTGCGATCACAGTTATTAGACGACGACGAAAGCGGAATCTTTGCCGAAAGTGCGGCGCCCAAAGGCGACGTCGATTGTAGATTGAAATTATCACTTTTATTATACATATATATATATATATATATATATATGGTGTTCTTTTCTCATCAGCAGTGCACCTTAATCACGTTCGTTTATTTGTTACCATCAAGTCGCCATCCCCTATAAATTAGAGCTTCAGAAAGCTCACCAACACCTTTCACTTCGTTGGCCGCATTACACGTTCCGGTGAGTAAATCGCGGAACTTCAGTTTATTAGGTTCATTGTGACCGTCTATTCGTTAAAATTACGTGCATTACCTCGTTTCAGAGCTACTACCTCATTTGCGTCGGAGAATAATCACGTACATTTTGTGCATGAGTAATTGCTGCATCCGTTATAAGGCTGCGATATAAAACGCATAACGAGGGAACGCAAGCGAGAGAGTATAGAAACAATTTTCCCAATGCCGCTCCCGATTCCGTGAGTGATTCAGCGGGAAATACTTGGGCAAAATTATTAGAAGCGATGCGTTACAGCGACAAACGAGTCACGAGTTCGAACGAAAAACTCCTCTCGAATCAGTCGACGAAGACGGTTTCTAATGTTACAATACGCAACAAAGAGCGAGAACGCGTACAATTTGATGCCGCTAATATTAATTGCCGCCTTTGACACGAATAATTACTTGCTGTTACGGTCAAATGTTGCGAACGGCTATCGAATAAATGCCTCTGCCTTGTCTCTCCCCCGTGCCCGTTTTATTACAGTTTGTAGATTGTTTTTCTCCAGTTTGTTAAGTACTGCTCATTTGCACTTTTATCGCGTTATTCCCAAAGCCAGCCGCGTAAATGTCTCTTGCAGGTAAAATCGAAGCGTTTTTATATGGACGGAGGGCGCGAGAGGACAAAGTCATATCGACGTCTTCGGTCTTTCAATTTCTGCGCGTGTTTTCATATCGCGCAGAATTTTCTTTGTTGGATCCTCGCGAAGTTCCCGCTGAATATGTAGGGTTCTGCTAGCTGGCTCTCCCTCTCTCTCTCTCTCTCTCTCTCTCTCTCTCTTTCTCTTTCTCTGGAAAAGTATTAATATAATTTCCGTGTATGAAACGCGCGAAAAGAGAGAGAGAGAGAGAGAGAGAGAGAGAGAGAGAGAGAGAGAGAGAGAGAGAGAGAGAGAGAGAGAGAGGAAACGTTTCCAGCTTGACCATGTATGAAAGATACATGCAGCGTCTCTTAACACGCGCGACGATTGTATCGTATTTCAAATATTTCAGGATATCGAGGCAATAAAAAGGACTTCACATATGAGCTGATCCTTGAAAGAAAAAGAAAAACAAGGAGCGCCCCGGTGCACGGACGTTGTACATACGTTCACCGTGAACTTTTCTACTGCCCCGAGCGGATCGCATTAAATTAAATCGCATTAAACTAAATTCAAATTATTAAACATTATTAAGCATAATAAATTATTCACCGTTAATTCAGCGGCTCCGTAAATCTGCGCGCCTTTGAGTTAATACGTTTAATCGTTGCAACGTTTTTCTCGATGAAACTCACCCACCTACAACACACACACACAAGCGCATACAAATGAGTGCACATTTTTAATTGTCCTGAAATGTACAATTCATGGGCGCGCACGCGCAAACACCATCCGTTTGGCCGTCTCTGAACGAATCGTAAATCCGTGCGAGCAACATTTTTACCATAATCCTTTGACGCAGCAGCGATCGGCCGCCGTGCATATGAAAGTGCCGTAAAGTGTCGGTCAGTTCGAATGTCGCGCGTGCAGGTCGACAAAATATTTCGATATTTCGGGAGCCGTATAGGTATCGGCGTACGTTTTCCGCGTTCTCTGTAAACGCGGTCTCCTGCGTAAAACGTGGAGCGTCCATCGCGTACATCCGTTTAGATCGACGGACGAGCGGAAAGGAGAAATTGCAACGGCGGGTTATGGCGGAGCGGGCGCGCGAGAGAGAGAGAGGGAAAGAGAGAGAGAGAGAGAGAGAGAGAGAGAGAGAGAGAGAGAGAGAGAGAGAGAGAGAGAGAGAGAGAGAGAGAGAGAGAGAGAGAGAGAGAGCGAGAGAGTAGAGAGGGAGGAGAGGGAGGGAGGGAGGGAGGGAGGGAGGGAGGGATAGTCGAGCGAGTAGGTCGATGGAACGAGATTAAAAGAGGCGAAGCTACAAGATTAAAAGGCAAAGCGGGACCTACTCCGAATTGAACGGCGTCGGTTGGCTGCTCGCGGGGAGACATTTATATTCCCGGGAAATCGTTATTGACCGATCAGAGAACCCGAATGGCTTTGTCGCGTCGTTCTTCCCTTTCTTTATTCCGCGCACCCTTCCACCAAGGCAAGGAACGAGCGCGCGTGAACACCGACATCTGTTCTGCCGAGGGGTCTCGCGTCGCAATACCCTTGTAAACGCATCGCTCGCTGCGAATCGTAATCGGAGGGATGTAACGACGTCCTGTGCCTGACGCCGCTCCGTGGAAAGGGTGGACGGGCGAGAAATATTCCGCGGCCTTTCGACACTCCCGCTTTTTATGCGCAACCCGGACGGAAAAGGGTGCGAATGAAATATTATCAATTTTAAGTGTGCGTGTGTGTGCGCGCAACTCCATTATGAGCATCTCCACATTAACCAAATCAGAGAGAGAGAGAGAGAGAGAGAGAGAGAGAGAGAGAGAGAGAGAGTCACACATTTGATGCGATAGATGCGCGACGGTTCTGACACGTAGGAGGACGGCTCAATGTTTTCGAAATTGCAGCGAGGACTCGCAATGGGAAACGTTCCGAGCTCTTCGTCACAATTTTCCTCACCAATGGCTCAGCGCGACCGGTAGTAATGGCCGTCTGAAGTTCCCTCAGAGATATGGCCCGAAACGCCAAAACACACCTATAGACCATAGAGACCGGCGAGCGGAAATTGAGCTGGAACACGAGGCGAGTTTCGAGGCCAGGAAGAACTAGTTATGAAACACGGCGCATCTCCAGGCCGGCGAGACTTACGCGGGACTTAATCGAGTAAAACAGATACGCGCATATTTAAGCGCGTTCGTACGGCACAGCCACTGCCGCAGACACGTCCCCCCCGATAAAGTTTCCGCATTGCCCCTCTACCCCTCCCCCCCCCGCACCATTTTTAATTATATCCCGGCGAAACACGGCGCGTGTACGGCTGCAAACACCGAGATACGCGTTCTCGCGTCGCCGATATCTCATCGCTGCTTCCGTCGTCCGCACGGGGCACGAGTCCGCGACTTTTATGAAAACCGGGATGATTGATCTCGAAAGATGGACCGTGTTGCGCGGTCCTAATGAACCGACATTTTTTTATGCGAGCGAGCGAATGATGAGGATTAATGAGACCACGTACACGTCTCGATTAATTATTAATAATACGATATTTGCGAGTGGTCCGTCGCCGCGCATTCTCGCGCGTGGTACAAGAGGTAGGTACATATTGATTGCACTGCCATCGGTTATGTAACACAGCAAGAAGATGGCGAGAAGCGTACAACCGACGGGGCCGATGTAACACAGTTTCATTCGTTTAAATGATAAAAGGCAAGGGCGCGCGCGCGCGCGCGCTTTCAAGTGAGTAGTACCCAGCGCGTTCGGACACAAATTGTGCTCTTTCCATTAATTCGATCCGCGTGGCGCGCGGAGAATAATTAAAAAAAAATATGAAATATTCCGGGCGGAGTGTAATTCCGCCGATGCCCGGCCCCGAATTAATTAACGTGCCGTTATTTCTACTTTAAACGAAACCAGGTCGATTGTCGAAGGAGAAGCAACCGTAGATATCGTATGTATGCTAATTGAACGAAGAACCGTCTGAAATGGAAGCTTGGCATAGGTTTCCAGCTGATTACCATCGCGGACACTAGCGAGCAGGTCCCTTCGCGGCTCGAACAATGTGGAAGACAACTTTAACGTTCCCTCGCGTCGTCGTCAAAGTGCACATTCGACCAGAAGAAACACTTTTGATTTTTGTAACTCAGCCGGGGAGACCGAAAGCAGTCTCGTTTAGACGCTGGATCGCGCTGTAAGAAGATCGGCTAGTTCTTACAACTAGTAAAAAGGTTTCTATCGCGGAATAATTAAGCTTTTACGTTGCTGGACTTTGCGATCACGGGGGAAAGCGTGCCTGTGTGTGTGTGTGTGTGAAAGTTTCGTCACGCGTAAATTCGCCGTTATCGAGTTTAACGCGGAGAATTTCGTCAAAGTTTGCTCTTTCGCGGAATCGTGGATCAGCCGTCCGTTATTTGCGTAACGCAGATACCGATACGTCAACGACGAGCGGAGAAATGCACAGCTAATTGAAACGAATTGTTCGCCGGCGACAAATTACTAAATTACGTAAACGTGTAAGGGCCGCATCTCGAAAACGAGCGAGGGAAGATCTCAATCGGTGAATCAGTGCGTAACTCTTCCTTTCCATCGAGTCGAGGTGTGTCGCAGCGCAACGTAGCGCGTCGATAATGAGAAAATTAGCGAAGCGTAAAAAAGCCGACACTTATCTCCACTGCGCCCCGTGCTCAGATTCGAATTTCGATTTGGCGTGTTTCTGTGAAGGAACGAGTAATAAACGCC